TTTTAGCCAGTACCAGGCTGATTTTATTACAGTAGCTTCATAGTATAATTTCAGGTCAGGGATTATGATTCCACCTGACTTGCCCTTGTTGCCCAGGATTGCTTTTGCTGTATAATTCATAATAAAACCTGATAAAAATATAATTCATAATAAAACCTAACAATTTTTAAGTTTCTCACTGTAATGATAAAACAGCAGGATATATATCCTATTTTCAAAATAAAGCATGTTCCGGACTGAAGGGCTCTAGAATGGAATTATAATCTTAAATTTTTGCCTATATTATTTGTGCCCAGAAGTTCATATCAGTACGTAGGATAATTACTACATTTGCTACTGAATGCTTAAAAATTTCTACCTTGAGCTCAATAAGTAATCTACAAATTCAGTGTTTGATTCATTCGCCTTCAAGATCCAAGAAGAGAACAGAGGCAAAGGTTAGAATTTTATGTGCCCTAGTCATGAAACATCTCTGGCCACCAGTAGGCATGAAACAGCTCTGGCTCCCAACCCATGTGTGAAGCTAGGATGAACAAAGGATTGTCATCTGCTCCGCCCCTGACTGATATAAGAACACCACCACCGATGAGTGTCTCTTTGCCCATTGTTTTTTGTTTTGTTTTTATGGTACAGGAGGCTGAACCCTCGGATATACCAGGCATGCACTCTACAGCTAAGCTATGTCCCCAGCCCATAAAATGTTTTAAAAATTATTTTAGAGTTAACTTATTAAGAAAATACAGTGCTTTATTAATTAAAGACTCATTACATTTATTTATAGCATAATTCTAAGGAATTTACAAATTGATATTTTTATTACAGTATTTGGGTAACTAAAGAATTGCAAAGTTCACACTACAGATGATATACAAAAGATGTAAAGATAATGAAGCCTTAAAAATGTGCTGACATTATAAATATTTATCATAATAAGATTTTTCTCATCTGAGAGCTGCTTAAAGTTATAATGATATACTGAGTATAAAATTACTTTTAAATATATTTGTATAAAATACCATTTTTTTTGTTTCTATCATGACATAGACTAGGAAAGGATAGCCTCGATGAAAGGGTTAAATCATTTATTAACATTTACTTGGTATATATTATGTACCAAATACTGTTATAGGTAGTAAGGACATCATTACTAATAAGACAGAAATAACCCCCCACCCTCAGTAGTTTCTCAGACTGGTAAGGAGGATGTAGCAATAAAAGTATTAAATATAAATTAATATCTGGTATTGGCAACCATAGAGAACAAATAATATAATATGATATGAAATATCAGGAATAGAGAGTGCTATCTCCTTCAGTGGTTAGGGAAGCTATTTTGTGAAGAAGTAGATATTTGAGTTGAGACCTGTGTTTTGAGAAGCAATACAGGGGAAATTCCTTTCAAGCAAATGCAGAACATCTGACACAGGAAGGAACTTGATACATTTAAGGACCAGAAAATTAGAATATTATATCTGGGCAAAGGAGATCCCAGAAGCAAGCAGTTTTTGAAATTATGTTAGTTAGTTTTCTGTCTTTGCTGAGACAAAACACCCAATGCCCAAAAGTAAGGAAGGAAAGATTTATTTAGCTCACAGTTTGTGGAGGTTCCAGTCTATAATCAGCTGGCTCCAAGGCAGGGTGATGTGGCACAGGGGCAACACTTCAAGGTGGCAGAAGACAGCAAAAGCAGCAAGAGCAAAAAAGAGGGGAGAACAAGCTTCTTTTCCTCCCTTATATTGTAAGCAGGCTACGTACACCCAGGAGGGGTATAGTACTCTCATAATCTCCATGTCCTCTTTTTGCACAGTCTCAGGATGAATACAAAGTAAGGACCCAGCACCCTGCTGAGTCACTTAGTTACCCTTCTGAACTTTTCAAGTTGACACAGTGAACAACATCCTAGAGTGGTAAGGGCATTAGGATGTAGAACTGCTGAGTCACTTAGTTAAGTTTCTAGACTCCTCAAATGGACAATGTATCAACCATAACAGAAATATATAAGGCTGTAATTCCACCATAATATGGAACTTATTTACTTACTTGTATTATGGCTACAATAGACTGAATGTTTCTAACCCCTCCCTATTCATACGCTGAAACCTAATCTATGTGATGGTATTGTGAGGTGGAACATTTGGAAAGTCGTTAGGTCATGAGGGATTAGCACCATTATTAAAGAGACCCACAAAGTCTTCCTTGTCCTTTCTACTGTGTGAGAACACAAAAGATGTTCACCTGTGAACTCAGATGGCCATCCTCATTAGACATTGAATCTGCTGGTGTCTTGGTCTTGGACTTCTTAGCCTCCAGAGCTGTGAAACATAAATGTTATTTGTTTATTTATTTATTTACTTATTGTGAGTAACTTAGTCTATGGTATATTGATATAGTAGTTCAAAATGACCAGTTGTTGATACGGGAAGCCACTGGCCACTTTTAAGAAGCCACTCTATTTTAAGAAAGGGAATGACATAACCTGCATCATCCTTTAGAAATCTAATTCAGGAGTTAGGAATTGTGATATATGCCTGTAATCCCAACATTCCAGGAGGCTGAGGCAGGAAGATTGCAAGTTTGAGCCCAGCCTGGGCAACCTAGTGAGGCCCTGTCTCAAAATGTGTAAAAAGGGGGCTGGGCTGTGGAGGTGGTACAGTTTAAGGCCCTGGATTCGATTCCAGTCCTGCAAAGTGAGAAAGGAATTAAGGGAGGAAACAAGGAAACAAAAAATATTTGATTTTCTGAAGGATGGAATGGATGGGGGTGGGAGTCAAGAGCAGAGACAGGAAAATCAGTCAGGAAGCTATTGTAGTAGTCCAGAATGTAGACTATAAAGTGAATCCAGACACTAGACAAAAAGTGGTAATAGCTTCCACGAGGGTTATAGTAGTGGAGATGTGAGAAGTAGTTAAGATTGAGATTATTTTAGAAGTCAGGTGGCTTAAAACATAAAGAATAAAGAATATCTTCTATTTTTTTGACCCATTACCAAGTAGATGGTGGTTCCATTTCCTAAGATAGGTAAACGCTCCTGGAGAAGCCAGTTTTTGTCCTGAGTGAATAGCTCTGCTGTGCCCCATTTATTAGGCATCTAAATGCAGGCATTAAGAAGAGAAGTGGTTACATTAATCTTCAGCACAGCTGTACATAACAGTTCTCTGGGAGTCCTTGGTCCAGTCCAGCTTGCCCTCTTTCTCACTTGTAGGTCTTCAGAATAACTAAAATGTGCTGGGAAACGCAACATCCTGTAATAAAGAGGGAGCCACTGAAACAGTCCAGGCTCTGTTCTGGTCCCACCCAAGATAGGATGTACTTCTGTGCTTTAGCCCAGCAAGTTCTAACTTGGGTATGTAAAACCCAGGGTAGGCTGTTTTCTGGAGTTCCTCAGGTACTGAGCCAGGGAACACATGAAGATTCTAAGATTGAGTCCATCCTGGGGCAACTTTCCTGAGCCTTCGGGCACTACATTGAATTCTAGGCTGCTGTTGTCCCTTACTGTCTATGTGTAAGTACAGTAATGGGTTTACTTCATGTACCTTGTGTGGAGATCTTCTGTCTCGCTGTACTCAGGCAAGTTGGAACTATTGTACAGTCAATCTGTCTCACAAGCTAGAGTTTGAAATTGGAATTCTCAGTATGTAGAGTTCACAATATGTAGGTTTTCTCGTGAAAGTGGAGGAAGTCACTAATAGCATAATATAGTATTATAGCATATAGATAAAGCACAGAGAATAAGACAGACCCCTGGATCACTCCAGCAGGTAGAAATTTCATGTAGAAGGAAGTCAACTAAGAAATAACATGGGAAAACCAAATGAACATGGTGGTGTAGAATTTCAAAGGAGAAAGTACTTCAAAAGGAAGAAGTCAAATGTCTTGGCTCCTGCTGAAAAATCAAGTAAGATGAGAATAGTAAGTTGACCATTAACTTGACTAAAGTCAGTCATTGGTAACCTTGATAAGAGGGATTTTCCTGAAGTGACAGTTATTAATATGATTAGAACATGATTGGAGTGTGATTGGAGTATACTGAAATATGTTTGGAGTATGTTCAGAAAAGCATAGACTGGACTTTGGTCACATCTCAAACATTTGTGAAAAATAAGGTTAACACAATAATGTGAAAGGTGAAAATTTGACTATTAAGTATAAAGGAAAATTTTACTTATTTTTAATTTTTAATTTTTTTTTTTTGAGACAGGGTCTTTCTACATAGTTTAGGCTGACCTTGAACTCACTATGTAGCCCAGGCTGGCCTCAAACTTGTGGCCATCCTGCCTCAGTGCTGGGATTATAGGCATGTGCCACCATGCCTGGCAAAAGAAAATTTTAGAAGCTAATTGTCAATCTCCTTTTCAGCCTCACCTGTTTCAGTTCGGGAAATGACAGATACCTCAGTCTTGGATCAGTTGAAAGCAACTTTCTTTGTGAAGGATTTCCCTGAGAAGTATGTATCATTAACCTCAAATTTCCCTTTGCATCTAGAAGGAGATAAACAATAAGTTTCCCAGGCACCTGGAAAGGGAAAAATCCCTTCCTTTATCTCCTTACAGATTTTCTTCTTTTGTCTGAAAATAAATCCCTAATTTGAATAATAGAGGAGAGATTAATTAGAAGTGATTTATATCCTCTACTTTCCCTCATTTATCATATTTTAATTATTCTCTGTGCATTTGTGTTGCAAAGAACACTCCAAAATAGAGCAAATATGTTACTGTGCTTTTAATCAATAAGTAGAACTATAGGGAGTGTCTATAGCAAGTATTGTAAGATCAGTCTTTTTTTCTTATAGTACAAATGCAGATTTAAGGCTATTATCTAGCATCTTTTATGAAAATTTTATTATCAGTTTAGTCATTCATTAAATATTTGCATATTTGTGTTTTGTATATAGGATACAAAATCAAATAAGACATAGACCTTGTCTCAAACTCACAAGAAAACAAGGAGTAGTGATTCATTAATAAATAATTATAAAATGATATGCAGAATACAATGGCAGTAATAGGCATACAGAACATAAAATATGAGGAAGGACATCTAACTTGTTCTACATTGTTATTGTTGAAATAAATTAGAGATTTCAGGGAAAATATAAATAATTTACTCTATTGCTTTACTTCATGCAGACTGTCAATCAAACCCAGGAAGGATTTCATTATTATTCACATTTTCAAGTTTTAGTAATTTAAATTTTCCTTGGTTGAAAATTTTAAAAAATTATTGAAATGTGTTTAGACTCTGGAAACAATATAGCCCAATATACAATTTTTCCTCTTCTAGGAATCTGTAAGTTGTGTTAGGAAGATAATAAATAGACATAGAAAAAAATAACAATGTAGAAATTAGAAGAGAGCGTAGGATGACCAAGGTAAGGCCTAACACAAGACCTGACGCCAATAAGAACTATCTATCAACCAGGTGCTTGGGGAGTACCTATGATCCCAGGTACTGAGGAAATTGAGGTTGGAGGATTGTGATTTCAAGGCCTGTCTGAGGAATGGTTTAGTGAAAAGCACTCTGCATTATGAATTAAAAGATGTAGATTTCAACTCTTGACTTAAAAAGTCAGTTGCTAGTTACTTGACTAATCATTTTACCTCTGACTCATTATTGGTATACCTGTGCTTCTTAAACTTTACTGTATATATAAATCACCTGGGGCCTAATTAAAATACACATTCTGATTCAGTCAGTCTGTTTTGGGGCCTGAGATTCTGCATTTTTAGTCTACTTGTAAGTATTGCCAATGTTGCTAAGCAAAGACAAGATGATTTCTAAGATCTCTGTCACCATATGAGTTTGAGTGGTAGGGCTGTGCGTTTATAAGTAGGAGAGACCATCTTCACAAAAAAGTAGGAGCTGAGCTTGGGTTGAGCACTGAAAGAGAAACTAACTTGAAAATAAGTATTTGGGGCAGAAAAAAGAACATGCCTAAAGGAACAGAAGTAGGAATGTGCAGTTAGAATGCAGTGAAGGTATTGATGTGATAAGGGTAGTTTGGCTCAAACCAAAGTTTCACCACTGAAAAGTGGGTAACACTGCTATGAACATTTGTGTACAAGTTTTTGTGTAAACAGTTATCCATCTAGGATTGGAATTGCTGGATCATGTGGCAATTCTGTGTGTAACAGTTTGAGGAGCTGCTATACCATTTTCATTCCTATCATCAGTGTATAAAGGTTAAATTTATTCACATTCCTTAAATACTTATCATTTGTCTTTTTTTATTTTAAAGAGAATTTTAAAAAGAACAATAGCAAAGTGCCAACAACATAGACAAAAACAAAACAAAGCAAAAACAATTGTGTGTTTCAGAGCAAAATGATAGGGATTAACACTGATTGCTATATTACATATTTTTATCTTTGTCAAAATTACTCAGATTACCAGATGTAAGAATGCAAGATTAATCAAACCATTAAAGAGAATAAAAAATAAAAACAAAAAAATTAGAAACGATACAGAGTTTCATCAGACAAGATGATAGGAACTCAACAATGGTGTTATGTTGCATATTGTTGTTTTCAAATTAGTTGTTCAGATTACCAGATATAAGCATGCAAATTTGGGGGTTGGGGATTAAGCTCAGCAGCACAGTGCCTGCCTGGCAAGCACAAGGTCGTGAGTTTGATTCCCGGTACCGGAAAAAAAAAATTTAAAAAAATAAGAACATAAAAACATAAAAAAAAAAAAAGCATGCAAATTTGGTCAAAAAAAATAAAGCATTAACTGTTCCTTTCAATAAACCATTAGACATCAGCAGTACAATTATTCCAGCTATCCTTCTGTTTACACACTTATATATTTCCCCTTCCTTATTTCTTTCCTTTTTTTTCCTTTCCCTAATCCCAGTTGTTTCCTCTTTTGAGCAATTTCTTTCCCTTTCCCAACATCTATTGTATGTTTTTGGTTCCACTTACTCTTTCATGTTCTTATACTAGGAAAACAACATGATGTCTACACATGTGGGTCCGATTTATTTCACTTATGAGTATGGTCTCTATTTACATCCATTTACCTATAAATCAACAACTGGGATCTCCTCTTATTGAAAAGTTTTTACACATCAAAAGAAATTATCAACAGAGTAAAAAGAAAATCCATGAACTGGGAAAAAATTTTTAGCCAACTGCCCTCAGACAAAGGGCTTCTATCTAGAACATATAAAGAATTTAAAAAAATCAGGCCCCCAAAATTCAAAGACCCAATCCAAAAATGGGCATCTGAGATGAATACACACTTCTCAGGTGAAGAAATACTAATGACAAATAAATATATGAGAAATGTTCAACATCATTGGTCATTTGAGAGATGTAAATTAAAATAACACTGAGATTCCATCTTGCCCCAGAATCTTTCTGGTTATCATTAAGAAATCAAACAATAACAAATGCTGGAGAGGCTGTGAGGAAAAAGGAACCTTTCTCCACTGCCGGTGGGAGTGAAGATTGGTGAAACTACTGTGGAAATCAATGTGGAGATTCCTCACAAAACTAGGATTAGAGGTCCCACTTAACCCAGCTATTCCCCTTCTTGGTATTTTCCCAGAAGAATTAAAAACATCATACCACAGTGATATATGTGCACCCATGTTTATAGCAGCACAATTTGTCATAGCTAAATCTTGGAAACAGCCCAAATGCCCATCAACTGAGGAATGGATAAAAAGGATGTGATATGTTTATACAATGGAATATTACTCAGCTATAAAAAAAAATTTTATCCTTTTAGTAATAGCTATCTGAATCACTGCTATAGTTTATCTCATTGTAGTTTTGATTTGCATTTCCCTGATGGCTAATCATTTTGAGCATCTTTTCATGTGCTTATTGACTATTAGTATATCATCTTAGGAGAAATGGCTATGTAAGTCCTTTAGCCATTTTTTGAATTGTCTTCTTGTTAGAGTTTTAAGAGTTCTTTGCCAGATGTAGTGGCACATGCCTGTAATCCCAGCAGGAGGATTGCTGGGAGTTTGAGGCAAGCTTGAACTACATAGCAAGACCTTGTCTATAAATACATACATACATACATACATACATAGTTTATATATGCCAGATATAAGTCCTTATTAGATACATGGCTTGCAGATATTTTCTCCAGTGGATTATCTTTTTATCTTTCTTTTGTTGTTGTTATTGAGTCTGGGTCTCACTATATAGTTCAGGCTGGCCTTGAACTCATGGGAGGGGGCTTGAATTTTCTGATCCTGCTGCCTCAGCCTGTCAAATGTTGGGATTACAGGCATGCACCTCCACGCCAGGCTCCATTTCCCCTTTCTGATGGTATCCTTTGAAGCATAGTTGTTTTTTTTTTTAAACTTTGATATAATTCAATTTATCTATTTTTCCTTTTGTCACTTGTGCTTTTGGAGTCATTTTTAAGCGCTCTTCACATAACCCAAGGTCACAATGATTCACTCCTTTATTTTCTTCCAAGAGTTTACGTGGGATTTTTTTTTAAACTCTGGAGCCAAATTAAACTGGTTCCCAATGTTTGCCCATGACTCTTTTAAAGACATAAATCAGATCATGAAATGCTTCTTATAACCCCCCAACAATGTCTCAGTGCACAAAGAATAAAATCTAAAGTGCTTATCAAAGCTTACAAGGTCTGGAATGACTTGTTCCCTGCCTACCTGACTAAACTTTCTTTGTGCCAGTTAGCCTGAACTTTGTTTTTCTTAGAGTATGGCAAGCTTATTTTCTCTTTTAAGCCTTTGTGTGGTTCACTCCCTACCATTATTCAGGTAGCTACAGAAATATCAGCTCTTACTACATTCTCTAAAATATATCTCTTAAGCCAAACATGTGGGTACCTGCCTATAATCACAGCATTCTGTGAGGCTGAGGTAAGCCCAGCCTGGACAACTTAACACCTCAGTAGAACCCTGTCTCTTAAAGGGGTGAGCTGGGCTGGGGATATAGCTCAGTGCAAAGGCCCTAGGTTCAATCACCTGTACTGTAAAACAGATAAATAAACAAACCAGTCTACCTCTTACCAACTGTCTGGTTCTTCTTTGATGTCCTAATGGTTTGTTTCATTTTATTCATAACACTTTTTCCGCTTTATGTGGTTTATTTACTGATTCTGTCCTCTCTTTAACAGGTAAACTTCGTAGGAGCATGAACTTTGTTTTAGATACTAGTCCATTCTCAGCACCTAGGATAGTATTAACATACAGTAGATATTCAAGAAATATTTTTCTTAAGGAATTAACAAATGGCAGTGGATGAAATTGCCCATAAAGAATGGTAGCAAAAAAAAGTGAAGATCATCTAGACTTTGAAACCTTAGAAACACCAGTATTTGTAGGTTTAGCAAAGGAGGGGGCACCAATGAAAAGAGAATGAATAACATTAGAAAGGGAGGTAAAAGGGGAGTCAAGAAACATTGATCTGTTCTTTTCAATATACCACAGACATCAGCAATACACTTACCCTAGCTATTCTTGTGTATACATATAAATTTTGCAAAATGCTTGCACAAATTTGATCAATCTTACATTCTTACATCTGGTGGACTGAGCAACTTCGTATGTAATTTGGCAACCATTGTTAATTCCTGTCATTTTGCTTTGAGGTCATGCATCATTTTTGTTGTTTTAATGTTCTTTTGTTATTATCTTCATTGTTGTTTTGTTAGTTTTTTCCTCTTTAAAATAAAAAAATTTAAAAATTAAAAAAAGACATAGGGCTTTGGTAAAAAAAAAAAAAGAGAGAGAGAAAAGAAACACTAATCTTTATAGGTCATTTGTATCAAGGGAAAGAGAATTGACTAGGTGTTCTCAAAATGGTAGTACCAAGTATTATTACAAAATGCTGACTCAGTCAGCAACATTGTTTTTAAAAGACAGTAGGTATTAAAAGCACTGAAGTCTATAAAGATGCACATATGATTCAGTGTTCTTAAAGAATAATATGAAATGGGAGAGTTAAAAAATTCCTTCCTGTATCTGTATTTCTTTAAGAGTGAATGAAAAATTTTAGAAATTTTTCTATGTATGAGTTTAAGAAGCAACATACTTATATTTTTCTCCACATATATTGGTGAGTTATATCATTTTTTGTTTTTTAAATCTATACAAGGAAATTATTAGGGCTAAATTATTTTAGGATATCAGCAAAAAGGTATATTAGGATGTAAAGCTGAATTGCCAATAGTGTTTATCTGTTGGAAGATCTCTTGGAATGTAAATATCCTAATAGTATAGACAATGATAGATATACCTATATCAATCAGAAAACAAGTAAGTATGGGTATGCTTAAGGGAGCAAAAAAGCTGGGAACAGGAGGAAGAGTGAGATCCGGTTCATCCACTCCAACGAATAGGGTGTACATTAGTATGTAAACATGCCCACACTTCATTGTTCAGCAGAAAAGAACAGAATACCATGTACAGGAATCCACTTCAGTTTTAAATATGCAAAAATAATTGAGAAATTTTTGTAATTGTTATATTGACCTCAAGTGGTAAAACTATGGATCTGTTGGAATTAGATGATTTTTTACCACAATGAACATATACTATCTATTCATAAAAATAGTTTAAAATACAATGTAGATGAAATCAACATTTATAATGTTATAGAAGAACAGTTACAGGAATGGAGATTCAAGCTAATGGTGAGTTTGAAGAAATTGTCCCAAGTTCAAATCCAAACTCCCAAACTGAAGTAGAGGAAGGCATATATATTCACAAGGACTACAGTGAAGTCTTTACAGTTGACAATTATTTGGAAGACTGTCCGGCACTTCAGGCACAGAACCAAGGTACGGCATTTGTTATTTCAATTGTCATAAAATATTTCTTACTAATGTATTTATTTTCATTTCAGTGAGTTTTTAATTTAATTGGATCCTTAATTTTATTAAAGATATCTACCTAAATAATTATAAGTCTAAACCTTGTCATGTTAGGAAAATAGTTCTTTTTTATATTAATCCCCTTTTTTGTAAATTGGAGTGTTTTGGGGGGTGGAGGTGAGGGTTAGGTTTGTTAAGCCTCAAAATAACTTACGTAGTATGCTCACAACATAGTGTTGTAATGACTTTGGCATCTATGTACAAATCTCATGACATAGCACTCTAATGTAACATTAAAATACTAGGTTATGAGATTATGGTTATATATTATTTCTCAAAACATACTAAAGATTTTCAATCTCATCTAATTTTAAATCTTAGTATGTGTCATATTTCCCAGTATAAGAGCAAATAAATATATGTTCTCATTTCCAGGTATTTTATTCAAATGAATTTTTTTTTTTTTTTTGTCTTTTTGAGACAGGGTCTTGCTGTGCAGTTCAGGTTGGCCTTGGCTCACTTTGTAGCCCAGGCTGGCCTCAAACTTTCAATGATCCTCCTGCCCCAGCCTCCCAAGTGCTGGGATTACAGGCGTGTGCCACCATGCTTCAAATGAATCCCTGAATATGAAATTATCCGATATTTCTTTTAGCTATATGTCTGCTAACATAGTATCAGAATACTTTGTTAATGCCAGCTTTATTTATCATTACTGCTATATTACTGCTGATGTAGTAAAACATTTAAACCAGTGGACAAAAGCTACATTTTTAATTGTGTTTTAAAAATTTGTAGTGTTTACTGGTCATCTGCATCCTTGTCTCTTGTGAAGTAATTCTTTCCCTTCTATATATTTCTATTCATATATATTATGTGTATATATAAAGACATCAGTAACTCCAAATGTATTTGAACCTAACCAGTTCTGTTAATGTTTCCTTTTATTTGTTTTTTTTTTTCATTGCCTTTATACTAAGAAAATTCTTCCTTAACTAAATAACTACTTATTTTTATTTTAGGTTTTGTGTAATTTTGTCGCACATTTTAGTATATTTAAAAGCCAGAAAAATATTCTTTCTAAATGTTTTGGCAGTTGTCCCAATATCATTTATGGAATAGTCCCTTCCTTTCCCACTGATTAAAAATGCCACTTACATCATATATTAAATTCTTACCCACATTAGCATTAACATTAGAGTTTACTTCTGGGTTTTCTGTTATGTACTATTGTTTTGCTTATTGTTGTGACAATATCATATGGTGGGAACTATTTAATATATAATTATAACATACATTTATTTCTCAATAAAGTATATCTATTAGAAAACAATTAATTTAATGATTTTATCAGGCACCTTAGTGAAATCTTTTATTTGTTTTCTTTTACCTATCTTGGATTTTTCTAGGTAGATAAATATGTCTTCTACACAGAATAAACCCGTCTTCTTCCCTACCAATAGACTTGTTTTTTTTTTTTTTTTCTTTCCTGCTTATTGTCATAACTAACTGGCGAAAATTTGTTTCTTGGTGACAATTTAACATCCCTGTACAATAGATACAAACAGTCTTTGTGTATCTGTGGAGCTAATATAGTAGTTATTATGAAGTAAGAACTCTGTGGAATGCTATATAGCCATAAGAATATGATACAGCACCTATCATAGAAGTCTTTTTATCATTGTTTTTTAAAACTTTGGTTGTGGTGAGATGCTGCCCTCAAGTGGCTCAATCAAAAAAGGGTAGTTGGAATCAAGATCTGATTACAGACAGATGTCCCCATGTACTGGAAGTATCAGAATGTGGCTGTAGATTACGCTAGAGAGTCTGTGTTTTGCAGAAGAAAGCAAAGATAGAAGTATAAACTAATTCTGCTTTTACTGTTAATATGGCCTTATTGATATTTGTAGAATTAATTACATAAATAAACCATCTTTCACTTCTCAGATAAGCCCTCCTTAAACATGGAATTTATTGACTTTCTTTTTCTTTCTTTCTTTCTTTTTTTTTTTTTTTTGTTGTTGTTGTTGCTGTCTTTTTGAGACAGGGTCTCGCTATGCAGTTCAGGCTGGCCTTGAGCTCACTTTGTATCCCAGGCTGGCCTCAAACTTGCAGTGATCCTCCTGCCTCAACCTCCTGAGTGCTGGATGACTAGCTTTCTTTAGTGTGTTATGAAAAGCTTTTGATCATCAGAAACTTAACAGGTTCAAATAAACAGTCTCTTAGGAAGCTGATTTCTATTGTAGGTTCTGTTTTGGAATATCTATTTAGCTCCAGGCAAAGGAATGGCTCTTCCCTTACACAACATATTTGACACATGCATACCACTTATGTGGTTGGCCCTAAGAGATATCGTTACCTCAAAACTTCATATTAATTCCTCTCTCATTACATTCTACCATCACTTAATTGAAGGTCACTGCCCAGAAAAAGAGGCCATTGCTCCTCCCTTCCTGTGGTGCTCTTCATGTTGGAGTTTGACTTTCTGAGGAGTTCCTTCTCTAAGCATACATTCTTATTTTTATTTTTCCATTCAGGAGCTTATTGAAAAATGAAGGAAGGCTTGATGCCCCATCCCATGTCTCAGAAACAAAGCTCTCAGACATGTAGGATTTTAAAGTAATCTAAATATGAAAAGGTGGGGATAGAGAGGAAAAACTTATCCCAGTAATTATTAGCAGTACTGTTGCTTATTATTGAATGTATAACACTTCTCAAATAATGTTTCTATGTAATTTTCATTATAATGAACTTTATAGCAACCACGTGTAACAACCATGTGTAAATAACTTTAGGATGATAGGATCAGGGTGGGTTTCATTTGTAGGCTTTTGTAGACCATTTCTGTCCCATACAAGTCATTGTATGGGGATAAACTGGGGAATTCATGAGTTAAAAATCTGCAAGGAAGAGAAGACTAGGGTGAAACAGAGTCAAAAGTTTTTGTTTCTTTAACTTTTGCTGGATATTTTGAAGTAAGTTATATTTTCCTCCATTAATTAAACTAATCTTTATTGATAAAGTCTATTCCATTATATTACAATGATTTTGGAACATTTGGCTACTCTACAGTATACCAAATAATATTAAAATTTATCGAACTTTTCTCTATGTTCCAGTACTGAGCTACATACTTTATATGCACAGTACAATGAAGAACTAAAGGTTTTAAAACATGTTTATAAAAGCCCAGTTATATGTAATGGTTAATTATAGTAGCAATCTACATCCCTTTGTATAACTTTTAGATTTTTAAATGTTTCTTTAGATTTATATATTGATGAAGAAACAATTTTTACAAATGATTTGATGACCGATCAAAGTCACCTACCAACTTTAAATGCTCCAATGAGCAGACTTAAACCAGTTTTGATAAAGGACCCCCTTTTAGACTTCAAAGAACATACTTTCTCCAGGTATTTAATCATGCAGTGCTATAAATACTTTTATAGAAAGAAATATTCTTTGTGTGAACACATTTAGATGCTATCAGTTATAGTTTACCTTTGTTTTACCTCAACTTTCACTTTAATCATTGTTATATTTTTATTGGTTATATTCATTATGTAATTTGCTTTTACTAAATATTAATTAGTGTTTGGTTTTTTGTTTTAAGGAAATGTTTCTCTTCTCAAGAAGATTTACAAATTTCTAAGAAAGAAGATTTTTATGTGGATAAAGAGAATGTTTATCAGGAGAAACTAGAAGACTCAGTAGGTTTGAGTGAGGTTGTAACATTTGCTTTCAGTAATATCTTTATAAAACTAAGGAAGCACACTTTCATAAATTTTAGTAATACACATGACTTTATACAATGTTATATTTAAATGATTTAATAATGAGTCGAATGTGTATCAATTAAGAGGTCAAATAGACTTCTAAGTAGTGGTTCTCAGCCTTACCTGTACCCTGGAATTACCTGAGATATTTTTTTAAGAGTTGAAGTCTGGGTTCTACCCAGACATATTCTGATTTAATGGGTCTGGTGTACACCCTACTTATATAGAATTTTAAAACTACTCTCATTTTAATCAATAGACCTGGTACAAGATATTACATAGTCACGTCTAATTTAAAAATTGGGAACTAGGATTAGAAATGTTGGTTTGTGAGTTATGCACAAAACAGATGGTATTTGAGCTATACTAAAAGTGATTTCAGGCCAGGAATATAGCTCAGCAGCACAGCTTGCCTGGCAAGCGTGAGGTCATGAGTTCGATTTCCAGTACCAAAGCAAAACAAAAACATAAGAAAGTGATCTCATTGAGGGAGTAAGAATATAGATTGTTTAATATAAGGAAGACAGCATCTTTGCATATTAAAAACCAAAATTCTCAAAGATAACCCTTTGTTTTTAGCATACAATTCCAACAATATTGCACAAAATTGTTGTTATATTACTATATAAAGAATTGTAGCAGTTGAGATTACAAGTAATTTTTGCAGTTTAACAAGCTTGAAAACTTAGGCCCATGTAGTTTAGATGCATTCATGAAGTTAATTAAAAAAATTTTGAGGGCAACTAAAAGTTTTTTAGAAAGGACATTCCTTTCCTTTTTTTTTTTTTTTTTTTTTTTTTTTTTTAGGTATCGAGAATCAAACTCAGGACCTTGCACTTGCCAGGCAGGCGCTTATGCCACTGAGCTAAATCCCCAGCCCTAAAAGGGACATTTCTTAATACAGTCAAATGAGGTACCTACCGTGCAGTTAAGGTACTTAATGGGTTTCCTCACAGTTAAAAATTTAACATAATGGTAAAAATATTAATTCATCTATTAGTCCCTTTTCCCTTGTCCCCGTTCCCCCCCCCCAGTTAATTCTGAGAACTGTGCATGTGATCAGTTTCACTTGTTCAGGAATCCAGTTTTGTAGGTATAAAAGGGAAACATTCCATGGGGTGCAGGAAAGATTCATTCTATTCCATCATATATTTTTACTTCTCCCCATCCACCATCTCTTATTTGCTGCAATAATTATCTTTAATTTAGAATTTTAATATTTTGCTACTAGCTGACAAGAAGATACATCCGGCATAGGGATGTAGCCCAGTGGCACAAGCTCCTGCCAGGCAAGTCAAGGTCCTGAGTTCGATTCCCAGTACCAAAAAAAAAAAAGATACTTCTGCATCTAGGGATATAGTACATCACTGATGCAATGAGTCAACACAAAAGATACTACTCAGAGTATTACTTGTAATTAGAACAGTATTTTTGGCTACTACCCTTCTATTTTTTAAAAAACATATATAATGCTTAAAAACTTGAGTGTGGGTTTGATTTTTAAAATACCACATCAGTGATACTGGTATGCTGATACTGTTCTATTTTTTCGTTTGTTTGTTTCTCATTTACTACTCTCTTTAAAATAAAAAAACAAATAAAATAAAATACCACATCATTTAAGCAAATATATCCATTTATGAATATTTAAATATTTACTTGGAAAATCTCCCTAAAACCTTTTTGTAAACTATGTGTTATTTCAGCCATCAACTTTTCCTTCCGAGTTTCAATTCTTAATACCTACAAACCTCAAACAAGAACTGAAGGAATCATTAAACTTAATGACAAAAGTAATAAACTGTGTAGATGAAAATGAAAAACTTTTCGAAGGAGGTGAGAATGAATTTTTAAATGCATTTATTATAAAGCTACTCAACAATGTTTATTACCCTTGTCCTTATTTAATAAAACATTTTCTGAGCCTCTAAATTTTGTAAAAATGTCCTACAGGTGACATGTTGAAATGTCAGCATTATTACTGATAAGACTCTTTCTTCATTGTCATGTTTTTTTCTCTTTTTTTTTTTTGTGGTGCTGGGGATTGAACATAGGCCCTTGCTCATGAGAGACAGGCGCTGCAATTACACCCTTAGACTTGTCGTTTTTTTCCTGTTACTTCTGAGCCTAAAACTTCTCTGAAATTAATCTGTTTCAAACTAAATACACAATAAAGCTAAACTACCTGTGGCTATACTGATTTTATAGTTTTCATATATACAGTGAAAGCGCTATCAACATCTGTACTGATTTTAATGTAGAGTGGTGCACAGTTAAGGCATTCACAATAAGGACTCATAGAATCAGATAACTGGGAGAGTCATAGCCTAGAATTTAGGTGATTTCATTTCAGTTAATCTCAGTAAATATTAGAGTTATTTTTAACTATAATTTGAGCACAAATACTTAATTGCCCTTTCATGAATTTCATTTGAAATGATCCAAGTTATATTACTTCAGGGAAGAATGAAAAGGGGATCTGTAATGTCCATTAAAATAAGAATAATGTACTTGCCACCAACAGAACACAGACTTGAATTGTTGCAGGTAAGACTCAATCAAGGGAGTTGCTTATCCGGGACCTGGCCAAGATATGAGGGGTATGGCGAAAGGATGCAGTAAGACACAGAGACAGATTTAGTAATGCATGAAGCGGGGCTGGGAAGTAACTGCCTCAGGATGGGCAGAGACAAAGACACTCAAGCCAGCCTCTATTTATTGGGCATATAGAATGATAGAACAGGCTAGCAGAAGATTCAAGGTCGGCAGAGACTCAGAGGTCCATGACTCAGTGGGCAGTGGATAATCTTGGGAGGACTCGTGAAGGTGGAGAGATCTTATGCTAAGGAGGATCTTGCCTTGGAATGTTTTTTAACCTTAGTGGTCTTAGTTTAGTCTTAGTGAATGGGAGAGGATGGCCCATCCCAAAAGAGTTAATGGGAAATCTCAAAAGGGTGATACCAATAATTCCAAGCCTCCATTTATCCCTTAGGGAAGTATGCAGAATTAGCCATTGTGAATTTGTAGTCTCCAACAGTTACTGATCAGTCTATGAGTCAAAGCAAAGAAATGAAAAGCCAGCTGAGAAAATGCATCAAATCCACACCAGTACTAGAAAGAGATTAAGAGTTCAAAACTTCAGGTTGGACCATATGCTTTTTAGCAGGACATAAATCTCAGCTCTGTAAATGCTAATGGTAAGGACAAGTAACTATGTTGAGTGATTGTACCGTTATAGTCCTGGCCTTCACTTGACTGAGATGCTATATTAATGATAACAGGATAATTGTAGAGAACCTCTAACAAAGAAAGTTATACAAGCTATTGAAAGAACAGAGTTTGGGCAGTGTCCTGGGTACCTTTGGTTGTGACAATAATAACAATAAAACTGCTTAGTATAGAAATGAAGTTACTTGCTACAAGTATACCTCAGGTAATAGCTTTCTTCCTATTTGCCATGATCAAACAGTTAATAAAATTATCTATACATTTTCCTTGGACCCATAATAAAAAGAGAATCATAATATATGGTATTTTGTGATTGGCTTCTTTCACTTAGCATAATATTTTTAAGTTTATTGATATGATAGCATATATCAGTACTTAATTCTTCTTTATAGCTGGGTGATATCCCATTGTATGGCTATATCACATGTCATTTTTCCATACATCTCTTAATGGACATTTGAGTTATTTCTACTCTGTAGGTATTATAAATGGTCTTGCTATGAACATCCATGTACACATTTTTGTGCACATGTACTTTTTCATTTCTGAGTATATACCTAGGAGTGGAATTGCTGGATCATATGAACTCAATATTTAACTTTTTGAGAAACTTTGAGAATGTTTTCCAAAATGGCTGCATTTTTATTCCTACTAGAATCTATGAGATTTCCACTTTGCTGCCTCTTCTCCAAATCTTTTTATTTATTCATTTATTTATTTTGTCTTTTTGAGACAGGGTCTCATGATGCAGTTCAGGCTGGCCCTGAGCTCACTTTGTAGCCCAGGCTGGTCTCAAACTCGCAACGATCCTCCTGCCTCAGCCTCCCAATTGCCGGGATTACAGGCATGCACCACCATGCCTGGCTCCTCCAAAACTTTTTATAAGACTTTTTAAATAGCCACCCTGGCAGGTGGTGAAGTGCTGTTTTACTGTGGTTTTGATTTGCATTTCCCAAACGGCAAATAATGTTGAGCATCTTTTCATGTAATTGCTGGTCATTTGTATACCTTTTTTGAAGCAATGTATTTAGATTCTTCACCCACTTTTAATTGGGATAGCTTCCCATTTATTATTGCATTATAAGTTTGTCTCATTTGTTTTTATTTCTAAATTGGTCCTTTTTCTGCCTTCTTTCAGGCTACTTGAATTTTTAAAGAAATTTTAAAGATAAAACAGTTCTTATTTAAGGTATACATGATGTTTTGATATATGTATATTTTGTGAAATGATTACCACAAACAAGCTAATTAATATATGATTTACCTCACATAGTTACTTTTTTATATGTAATGAGAATACTTACCATCTACTCTTTCAGCAAATTTCAGGGGTACATTACTACTAATACTAATTTTAGTTATCCTGATGTACCTTAGATCTCTAAGACTTATTTAATTTATAACAAAGTTTATATCTTTTAATTAGTATCATCCTACATGCTCCATTCCCCTTTCCCCAGCTCCTGATAGCCATCTTTCTGCTCTGTCTTTATGAGTTGAACAGTTTTCTTAGATTCTACGTATAAATGAGATCAGGCAAGATTTATCTTTTTGTATCTAGGTTCATTTGTCACAAAAACCTCTGAACAATAGTTTCAGTTTTGTGGGAAACAAAGCAACCACAATTGGAAGCATAAAGTGATAAAAGACCATCTTTGTCTGAATAAATATAAGTGGGCTAGACTTCTTTATTAAAAGAGAGGTCAATTCTTGGATTAAATAAAAAATAAATCTAATTACCATATTTCTGTGGTTCTGAGACCTCCCCAACTCAAGACACATTGTCAAATTAATAACAGTGTTTAGGGAGAAAAGAAACATTGTGAGTATATGTACTGATTGTAAAATGAATCACACTTTTATAAACTACAAAATATGAAAAGGTACAATCCTTACAATCAAAGAATTACTATATATGTTATTTATAAGAGTTGTACATTAGAAAGAAAGCCAAAAGGTAAAAAGATAAAGCAATATGCAAAACATATGTAAAACAAAAAAGGGAAAAAACCTAAAGTGGCAGATTCATGTAGACAAAGGCTAGCACCTGCCTAGCATGTGATGAGAGGGCCTGGGTTCAATTCCTAGCACCACAAGTGGAATTTCAGCTAAATACGGCCTAGAAAATTATCGTGTATGGATGAAGATTACATCCTTAAAAGTGATCTCATTCTTTGAGGCTTGTAATTTATTGACTATCATCTTTATTTTAGCTTCCAATGATTATGTAGGTTTTCCCATTTTTATTTTCCATTGGAAATTTTGATTGACAATTGAGAGGAAAAAAGGATGTATAGAGAGGAATAGCTGTTTACCTGTTAAGTCAACATTTTCTTCAGAAATCTAAATCTCCTTATTATGGTTTAGTTCTAAAATGTTTCCCAAGAGGCTCATGTTCAGAGGTGGGACTTTGGAAGATGACTGTACCATGGGGCACTATACTCACAGTGGATTATGATGAGCACTGACGAGCCCATGGCTGACAGTGCTGTTCTGAGGTGGGAACTGTTTGGAAGAGATGGTCACTGGGGGTGTGCCTTTGGAAGTTATATCGCCCTTCCTGCCTCCTTCTTGTCCTTCCTGGCTGCCATGGGATAAGCGTCCTTCCTGTGCCGTGCTCTTCCACCATGCCATTCTAGCCTTGAATCCAAGCAAACATGGACTGAATCCTCTGAAACGTAAGCCAGAATAAACCCTCCTTCAAGTTGGATGTGTCGGGTACTTTATCCCATTGACAGGAAAGTAACTGATATATCTGTAAAAGGAAAATTGATCTATAATAAAGCAGTGGGGGTACTGTAATGGTTGTTATATTGTGTCAACTTGAGAAGTTTAGAAGCTTAACTAAGCCACTCAGCAGGGAGCCAGCGGCCCCACTCTGCAAACATCCTGAGCCTGTGCAAGAGGAGGGCGCAGAGATGGTGTGGGTGTAAAAGACCTACCCTAGGGTGGAGAGCCTGCATACAATATATGGGAGGAAAAGAGGCTTGCACCCCGCCCCCTGTCACCATGTACAGTTGCCCTTCAGTGGAGCCAGCTCATTATGGACTGAAACCTCTACAAACTCTGAGCTAAATAAACCTTTCCCTCTTTAATTTTGGGCATCAGGTATTTTGTCTCAGCAACCAACACAGGTACTTTAAAAGAAAAAGGCCCATAGAAGAGAAAGCTAGTTTAATGGTGTTTTTGTTGATAATAGCGTTTTTTTTCTTTTCAGATCTTCCCGTTAAGCATGGAGTTGACATTGAGGATATAAAATGCAGCTCCACAGAGATTTTAACTATTAAAAACCAGAGTGAGCCAGAGTGCAGTGAACCAGGTAGAAATTTTGAATAAATCATCGAACTTATCAAAGTTACCTACATATTCATAAGTCTATTATGAATCAGTTTTTAGGTTTAAAATTTTTTTATTATTATTCCAGTTGTTATTTTTTTCTCTTATTGGCCTCTTTATATTTGTTACTAGAATCTTATCAGCTTTAAAAGTGAACAATATATAGAGAAGATTGGAGGAGTGGAGGAAATAGCATTAACGTCAAAAATAGAAATTTTAATAAAGTATTATAGCTCAGTAAATAACATTTTATTACTAATGATGCTGACCTTTGTTATACTTTTTAAAAATTTAACTTTTTAATCCCCCAAAGGAAGCTTATCATTCTCTGCTCTGTCATTATTATATTATTATCTTACAAAATTTGAAATCTCAGAATCATCTTCTGCTTCAGGATAGTGCCAAGCTGTGCTATTTCTTAAGTATATTGATGAACTATTGTTTAGTTACATCTGTAATTGGATCACATGAATTATCTATTTGGAAGTTTACTGCTTTACTTATGAAAATGATAAAACCACACTGTTTAACAATAAATGAGGTTTCAGTTTTCAAGCCCAATCTATAAATTTATAGTTCTCTGCCAGGCCATCTAGAGTTGACTCATTAAGTTGAAGAATTACTCTTCATAATAGTACTTGCTTCACATCACCAATATTTAGTACAGAAATAAAAACAGTAGTCTCGTAAGTACTGATAAAATAAACTGTCAGATTTAAAGCCATTATTACATGAAATTTTGAATAAATCATTGAACTTATCAATGATTTAGAAACCCTGTTTCTAAATATAGTTACATTCTGAGGTGCCTAGGATTATGGCTTGAACATATACATTTGAAGGGGGGCAGAATTCAGCCTATAGTCAGTGGTTAAAAGTTCTCAGAACTTTTAAATAAGTAAGGCCAGTAAAGTTTAGCCATCAATATATTTTTATAGCTCACCACTATTTCCGGGCTCAGTGATATACATCTCTAATCACAACTAGTTGTGAGGCAGAGGCATTAGGATCACAAATTTGATGCCAGCCTGGGAAATTTAGTTAGATGCTGTCTCAAAATAAAAAATGAAAAGGGCTGGTGATACAGCTCAGTAGTGTAGTGCTTTCCTAGCATGTGTGAAGCCCTGCGTTCAATCCCTAGTACTGAATAAAGAAATCATGACAATTATAGTTGAGATGCCATGTGGTATGTAGAGTCTGCCCAAAAAAATATAATACATCAGGAAAAGAAAAACTTGTATAAATATTTTAACACTAAATTTATTGTGACATCATGAGATTCATATAAGTAACTTTTGGGCTCTACAATTACAAGAGGTGCTCAAAATGGTGGCCATTAGCTTCCAGATATGTATTAGTATGGTAAATGGCTGAAGTGTGTGTACATTTTTTTTGCAGGCTCCGTATCTGTACTTCCTTTACTAGATGAAAATTTAGGATTTGTTTTATTTCTCAAATAACACAACTAGATTTCTTTTGGTTCTTTCGGTAACTTAAATTTCTTTTTATTGAAATATTTGTGTTGCAACAAAATGATCAAACATAATAATTGCTTACCAAAAAATTCTAAATTTTATTTTATTTAATGTTAAGTAATTTTTAAATTTTCAGATATTCCAGGAGAGTCAGGAAGAGCACTAACTCATCTACACCAAACAAGCCAACATTCTCTAGTGAATTCATTATGTCTAGGACTTCAGACATTTTCATTTTCTTCAGTTTCCTTATATACAAGAATTCCGACATTTCCATTTTCTTTTGTTTGTAAAATGTAAGTAAGGATTATATCTAGAACCCAAGTTATAATTCAGAACAAGATATTTTTACTGTAATATAACTTCCAGGATACTTATATGAAAAAATGTAAGAGATAATATAATGTATTGTAAGCAACTGGAGGGAATATATGAATATATACATATTTGGTTTTATGGATAGAGTATCTTTAGAAAGGGACATTAAAAATAACTTGTGTCAAGAAGACAACTGCGGAACCTAGCAATATGGATAGGAAAATTTTCACAGTATAGTCTTTTATGCATTTAGAGTTTTGAATATTAAAACGTTACTATTAAAAATAAATAATTTGAAAAATTTAAGCTCCTGACCTTGAATTACTATGCTAAGGACCTTGCCATCGGACACTTGGCAACAGTGAGGTCTCATTGCCATGAAAGACAGTTCGTGGTGTATTAGCCTGCTAGGGTGCCAGAACAAATACCACAGACTGGGTGGTATAAACAACAGAAAGTTATTTCTTCAATTTTGAAGGCTAGAAATTGAAGAACAAAGTGCCCACAGGGTTGGTTTCATTCTAAGGCTTCTCTTCTTAATTTATGAATGGCTATCTTTTCCTTGTATTCATAAGGTCTTTATCTTGTCTGTAACTTAATTACTTCTTATAAGGATACCAGTCATGTAGGGTTAGGGTGCACCTTAATGACCCCATTTAAACTTCTTGATAAACCCTGTTTCTAAGTAGAGTTACATTCTGAAGTACCTGGGATTATGGCTTGAACATATACATTTGGAGGGGGCAGAATTCAGCCTATAGTCAGTGGTTAAAGTTCTGAACTAGAGCCAGGCAATCTATCTTTATTACTTACTAACTTTGTGAGCATAAATTACTCTGTGCTTCAGTTTTTAAATCTGTGACATTGGGTAATAATTTTGTCTATTTTGCAGGATTCTTATAAGGTCTTCTAAAATATTTGTCATAAATCTCTGGCCAGGAACAGCCAAACATCACTGAAAAACCTGCAAATGGGTGACCAGTAGATGCATGGCCATCAACTTACTCCCTCTAGGGGTACCAGGAGTCATATCCCATTTCCAACAAAGGACATCCCCTAACCTGGTTCTCTTTAGATATAATCTCAGTGCTGGGTAAACCAGACATGTTGAACCAAAGCTTACTCCATCAATCTGTTCAATACCCTACTGTTACTGTACAGAGTGGTCTATAGTCCTTAAATTGATATTACAGGACTAGATCATAGTATTTTAGCTTAAGCCAAAATTGCATAGCTTAATAGTTCAGTGTATTTGACTTTGACATAATCTGAGATAGCTTTTGTTGCTATTTAATACCATGTGGCATGCAAGTAAGTTCATATTTTCTGAGATGTTATCTTAGAATAAATTTACCTTGTGTCTTGCTGCTTTTGCCATCTACAAAAATGTGAACATAGGCAGTATTGTCTATTTTCCCCCTGTAAACTTGGAAGTTAATGTATCCTAAAATAACTCCCTTCCAGGAAAATCTGTAATTCCTTAATGAAGCATTCTAAGACTGAAAATTATAGGAGCTGTGTACTGAGTTTTGAATTTAGTTATCGTTGGCTCTTCTGTCAGAGAAGAATCTCTTGGATTACTGCAAGTAACTGGAGTCAAGGCTCTAGAATTCATTACAGGCTGCTTAGAATTCTATAATAGTCTCAAGAAGGTAACGATCCGTAAAATGGAAGAGCCAGCCCTGAGGGGCCTAAGTATATCTTAATCTTCTCTTTAAGAGTTATTTCACATTTGTGGGGTAAATTTGTGTTATACAGAATTCTATTAAGAACTATTAGTGTCCATATCATATATGAACCCTAAAAACATCTTGTAACAAATATGAAAACTACCTATAATTTCTTTAAATAGTTTTAGTCTCTTTGTTAAGGAAAAACACATTTGCAGGATATATTCTGTCTTTATTAGACTGTTTTACTCCATATAACCTAATCCATCTGTTACGGCAGATTGGCAGTTAAAAACAGAAACTAGTGGAATTAGGATAATCTTGATTTCAATTTTATATTGAAAGCATTTATTTAACTATAATAAACTCACATTAATCACATATATTTGTTGTTATAACTCAAATATCTAATGGAACTTTATGAAGCAAGTCTTAGCTTTGCGCAGTGGCAGTATCGTAGCCAATGAGGTTTATCCGAGGCGCGATTATTGCTGATTATTGCTAATGAAGCAAATCTTATCTAATGCATTATAATTTGGCAAAGTTGAAACAAAAATGGCTTTTAAAGTAGCTAATGGATCTAAAGCCATTTGAAACAACTGAAAGTTATCTTATCACTACTTCACTCACCAGCAAGAGGGAAGTCACTTACATTGGTTTGTGATTATAAACATGTAAAACTCTTACTTTAAAAACTGCCTTGGGCTGGGGATTTAGCTCAGCGGCAAAAGCGCCTGCCTGGCAAGCGCAAGGTCGTGAGTTCGGTTCCCGGTACCGGAGAAAAACCAAAAAAAAAAAAACAAAACAAAAAAAAACTGCCTTATCTCAGTTGTAAAACTAAACATGAAAAGTGTTGAGTTTTTTAAAAGGAAGAGAAAATAATAATTAACCTTAACTTATTTGTATAGTAAGTTACTTTTATTTTTACATTTTGACTGGAAATAATGTCCAGTTAAATACTTTTAGTGCCTATTACATGCAAAACTCTATGCTAGATTTTAAGAGGCTAAAAAGAAAAGTCTGTGTGACATAAGATTTTATTTCTATATTAACTGACTACCAACTTTGAACAAATTTGTATGACCAAAGAATTTATCAAATTCAGACATGTCTCTGGAATATACCAGTAAGAACAAAATATTTGTCCATATTGGATGTGGCTGGCCTAAATATTTCCCCTTCTTTTCACTTAAAAATAATTGTCTCTGATCAAAGGTGTCCAATTGTCAAAGAAATCTTGGGAAGAGTCAGATATTGTCTAGATTGTCAATTTTCTACTGCAAGCCCAGATATTTTAATTATGTAGGTAAACTAGACAACTTAGGCATAAAACTTTCTTCCCCCCTAGGTTATCAATTTAACTTGTAGTACTTATATTAGCATATTATACAATATATGTCCCATTTGAACAAAGAAACAGAATACAATTAGTAATCAATCAGGTTTGAGAGAGAGGTTTGCAGCATAAAAGCTTTATGAATTAATAATGTCTGCCTTTCCAAGATGGCCATTGCATAGCTACTAAAAGTTACGATTTTTTTGTGCTGTGTATCATTATCTTCAAAGAAGCTGTTTTAAAAATATTGCTTTACACTGATTGTCATGCATATTTGATCTCTCCTTCCCACTCCTGTCACTCCAGAACGCACTAACATGCACACACATCACCCAAACACTACCAAGACTGAAGTATTTGAACTAAACGTTAGGACCTTGGCACCTCTTGAGAAGTTAGGATGGGACTTTTACATAGTTCTGACCTTTAGCCAATAGACAATCCAGAATGTCATAGAGAATGGATTTGAAGACAGTAGTTTTTAAAAAAATTTGAAGCTACTGTTTGCATGGTAGGCATAGTAATTTTAATAAGATTGTATTTTTAGTTTTGGTGTCTTATAGGGTTAGTACTTTCATTGCTTTTGGAAGACATGCTAAAACTTTTCCATGTCAACATGCTCTGGCTCCAGAGTACATTGAAGGAAATAGAGGTAGGAGTCATTTATAGGCAAGTAGGAGTACTTAGGAATTTAAAAATGACCAGATCTTCCTAGAGAAGCAAGAAGTTAAGTATATGAAATTTGGTCTATAGAACTCTATTTCTGTTTAGTTGTTCACAAAATAGTTAATTTTTCATTTGCTTTTAAATATGAAAGTTACTTGTAAAATACTTAAAACTTTATGCAAAAGGACTTAATATTATTAATGTATTAAACGTTCATCTTTTTCAGTAGCTTGCTTACTGCTGAAGAATCAGCTAATAAATACTGTATGGTGTGGCAATTAGAAAGCTGCAGAAATTTCTTGAACTCATTTTTGCTTACAGGTAAATAGTATAGGTGAAAAATACAGTGAGTAGAAATGTGAGATATTCTATTTCTTTGAGCCTTTCTTAACACAGAATACCTATAACTTAGCACAAAGCTAGACTATCCTGACATCTGCCAGAATGTTCATTATGCTCAGTGCAGGAGTATGTGACAAGATCTTGATCTTGCTGATTTTTCTGGTTAAAATATCTATGCATGGGAGAAAAATACAGGTAGTACATAAAACAGTCCCTTATGTATAGTTTGTATTTTCAAGTCAATAAATTGGTTGCTTAAAAATTCTACATAGCTGATGTGAAGATAATGTTTAGAATTTTTAGATTCCCAGGTTTTCCAAAAAAAATATTTAAAAACGTGTTAGCAGAGTTTATTTATAATGTAACAAAATAGCTTTGAGTTAAGTATAAATTAACTATTTTTTATATAGTTAGACAGTGCAGTATATCACTGTCAGACAGTGCAATATATCAGGAGAACTAGAACTCCTGATACAATACTCTCTTATTTGCTGTTTTTTGGAAGCCAAAATCAAAGTAAAAGCAAGAACAGTGGGAAGTAAGAAAACATCAAAACTGACCTTTATTCCAATGATTCCTTCTATAAATCCTTACTGGAGGAATACACTTTAGTCCGAACTTTAAAAAACTTTCACAAAGCTCGAAGAGGCTAACAGGCAAAAATCACACAATATATAGGCATCACTAGTGAGAGTCCTTAGAAAGAATGGACATCAAATCAGATATATATATCTTGGAACTGTCAGACAGTGCAGTATGTATTTACGGCAAAAAGGTGAGGGGAATGGAAAGGAGAAAAGAAATATGAAAAAGAAACGAAAGAAATGAGCAACTGAAGAAGTACAAACAGCAAATAAATATATGAAAAAATGTTCAACATCAGTGGTCACTTGAGAGATGCAAATTGAAACAACACTGAGATTCCATCTCACTCCAGAAAGATGGCTGTCATCAAAAAAATCAACCAATAATAAATGCTGGCAGGGCTGTGGGGAAAAAGGAACCCTTCTCCACTGTTGGTGGCAGTGTGGACTAGTGCAACCACTGTAGAAATTAGTGTGGTGATTTCTCAAAAAACTAGGACTAAAGGTCCTATTTGACCCAACTATTCCCCTTTTGGGTATCTTCCCAGAAGATTTCAAAGCATCATACTACAGCTATATATGCACTCCCATGTTTATAATGTCACAATTTATAATAGCCAAATCTTGGAAACAGCCCAAATGCCCATTAACTGAAAAATGGAAAAAGAAGATACAGTTTTTTATGAATGGAGTACTACTCTGCCATAAAGAAGGATAAGCTTGAGACATTCCTAGGTAAATGGATGCACCTTGAAACCATACTGTTAAGTAAAATAAATTGGACACACATGTGTAAATGCCACATTGCTTCTCTGGTGTGAGAAACTAAAAGTGTAAATAAGAACCAAAATGTATATTAGATATTGTGAAATAGGAAGAAAATGTTTCGATTGGGAGGGGAACAGAGGGGGGAGGGGAAAAGGAAAGAAGAGAAAAGTAAAAGAAATGTGAGAAAAGAAGGAAAAAATAATGGAAACAAAGCTTTTGTCAATGAGGAGAGGAGGAGTTGAAGGAGGGGTAGGAGAATGGTAGAAAAAAATCAGGTACATGTACAAATTCTCTAAGATGAATCTAATTATTATGTATATCTAAAATAAGCCAATAAAATTTGATTGAAGAAAAAAGAAGTGATGTAACCGATCTGGAATAGAATCATGTAAGTCTTCCAGAACTAAATAAAACAGATAAAAAAAAACTTGATAGATTCAATAGTATATTATGCACAGTTAGAAAGAATATTCATGAACTGAAAGGCAGACTGGAAGAAATTATCCAGAATCTAGTACAGAGAAACAGAGATAAAAGATGTGAGAGGTTAAAAGACATAAAGATTGAGTGAGATGGAACATGTATCCCACCAGAGATTCAGGTAGAGATTACAGAAAATGAGAAGGAGGTCACCTTTTTGAAGAAGAGACGGCTAAAATTGTCTAGAATTGTTGATGGACATCAGTCCATTGATTCACTACACTCAGTGACTTCCATGCTGAATGGAAAAGAATCCTCCCCTGCACCTGTCATAGTAGCTCTACACCTCACCAAAGGCGTGATGTAAGAAGCGTGGAAATTGCCTTCTCAGTGACACCCGTGGAAAGCCAGAGAACTGGAACAATATCTTTAAATATACTAAGAATAAACTATCTGTAATCCTATACCCAGCAGAACTGTAATTCACCAAGCATTTAAAAGAAGATATTCACAGGAATTGAAACATCAGAGATTTTCACTAAAAGAAACTAAAGGATGCTAGTCAGGCAGAAGGAAAGTGATCCCTAATGGAAAGGCTCAGACCTACAAAGGAATGATGAGGAAAGATACTTGTACATATGATAAATGTACTGACAATACATTAATAACAGCACTCTTAATATATTTTAAGGATAAAAGTGCTAGATTGGAAAAGAAGTATGAAAGCTTCATGAACTATAACCTCACAAAATTTCTATAGTATTTTAGAGAAGCGTACTTTTCTTTGCTTGGTGGTGAGTGCAGTTTTTATTTCATTTTCCATATATTCTCCCGTGTGTAAAATTGTGTATTTCATGATACAGAAATGAAAACAAAACTAAAAGTTGATAAGTTTGAATTCCAACTGTACCATCACCTAGCTCTATAAGTAATTTAACCCTCTGAAGCTATTTCCTCATACAATGGGAATAATAATGTCTACTCAAATAATAAGAGCATATGTCTACTCAAAGGCTTATATACGTGTGTGTTTCTAGCAGCTATATTTGTAAGAGCCAAAAATAGGAACAACTTACATATTCATGAGCAAGTGAATGGATCAACAAATTGTGCTATGTCTATATAATGGGGCATTACTCAAGAATCAAAAGAAATGAACTATTCTATTTACATAACATTTTTAAAATAACATTTTAAAATGTTATATAAGAAGGAAATGTCACTTTCCTTCTGCCTGACTAGCATCCTTTAGTTTCTTTTAGTGAAAATCTCTGATGTTTCAATTTCTATGAATATCTTCTTTTAAATGCTTGGTAAATTACAGTTCTGCTGGGTATAGGATTACAGATAGTTTATTCTTAGTATATTAAAGATATTAGTGGGTCCCATTAATAAATCTAACATTCTTCAAAATACTATCTAATATATTAATTTAGTAATTGACAGTGGTAAAAAAGAATATTGTTCCCTCTCTTGTTAAATATAGAATAATTTTAACTTCTTGATGTTATCAAATTTGATTTCTGTTATTACAGTAACTTGGACTTTTACAAATATTAGCTTCTTGAAAACAAAAACACTAGATATAACTTGAAGTATCACTTTTTTCTAAATGTGTGAAAATATATTTCATAAAGAAATTCCACTGTAGTTCTGTTTATTGTGCTTTTCATTTCTTTTGCCTTTTAAACTATTTCTATTTGTTGGTTTTTTTCTAAGTGCCAAGAATTCAAGAGCTCAACAGCCAATATTCAGTTACAGATCTGAAAAAGATGTTTTGTATTGAAGAGAAAAGGCTTGTGGTTAATTCTATAAAGGCAAAGTGCTGGAAAAAAGCAGAACTTAAGTCAATAGCAACAGAAACTTTGGAATGTCCAAATACATATTTGTGTCATGATCATCTATCTTCTAATGACATTAAAAAGGAGACGTTTTTGCCTACAAAAGTACTTCCATTAGAATGTAAGTACATAATAGTAACTGTAACTTGTATCAACATTTTTTTTGTTTTGTTTTGTTTTTGTTTTTCTCCAGTACTGGGAATTGAACTCACTACCTTGCGCTTGCCAGGCAGGCACTGTGCTGCTGAGCTAAATCCCTAGCCCTTGTATCAACAGTTTTAGAATGAGCAAATGTTAGATACTGGATTTCTTCTTAGTGATTATGGAAATATAATTAAGTTCTAGCATTTAATATTGGCTCTCTTTTGCCAGAATGTATGAGTTTGGGCTTCTCCAGGCCCTATTTTCTTCCTCAAAAAAAAAAAAAAAATAAGAAAGTTTGATTAATCTTAAAGTCCTATTCTGCTCTAAAATTGTATAGTCTCACTTTAAGTTTCTCACCATTTTCAATTAAAATGACTTAATTTCCTTTTACAAATAATTAATTGCTCATATAGTTCTTGTATCTAAGCACAAACCATCATTTAATAGTAACTTATTTTTTTGACCTAACAGCTAAACTTTGGTACTCAATAATGTCTACTGATCTCTCTTGAAAAATACAAAAAATCCTCCTTCATTACTAAAAAACTTACTAATTTAGCTTTTACTTATATAATTTAAGTAGGCAGAAATATCTTTTGAGTGTTTACTTTTGTTATTTTGTTTGCTGTAAATTCCATCATAGCAAATGGCACACATGCAGCATGAATTATATATGTGAATTGTTTTAAGATTAGTTTGTGCAATAACTAATAATTTTTAATCTTAAAGGATTTGGGAGAGTTTTTGCTTAATGTATTACAGAGTAATAATTATATTTTAAAGTAACGTTTAGAAGTAATTATCTGCGTAAGGAATGGGAATGAAAATTCTGATCAGAGAAGTGTGTTTTAGGGACAAAGGCACAGAGAACTGTGAATGTGGTAAGAAGGAAAACAGATGAGCAGCTTATACCAAGCAAGGCAGTCAGTCCACCCCAAGCCGTTATAGGACCCATCGTGTTTTCCATTTCTTTTACTCTGTAAACTATTTCATTTGTTTGTTAGTTTTTCTAAATGTGAAGAATTTAAGAGCTCAACAGGCAATATGCAGTTACAGATCTAAAAAATAAGAATTTTTTAAATGATTTGATCAGGTTGCTAGACAAAAAAAAGTAAGAAGATTTTATGGGGGTCTTCAAAGATCTGAATAATGTATCTGTAAAAATTATGTAAAGTATTGTGTAACTAATTTGAGGTTAAAATAAAGAATATTGTCTTTGATAGGCAATAGAACTATGGTAGTACTGTATACTATAATTCTGAGGTTTAAGAAACAGTAACTGTTGGGGCTGGGGATTTAGCTCAGCGGCAAAAGCACCTGCCTGGCAAGCGCAAGATCATGAGTTCGGTTCCTGGTACCGGAGAAAAACCAAAAAAAAAGAAAAAAAGAAAAAAAAGAGAGAAACAGTAACTGTTTCTGGACCCCATAGCCAAATTGCCACAGTAGAAATGCTTAAAAAGCAAAATAGTAAATGAAAATCATCAGGAAAACGAAATAGTAATTCCTACTGACCTGCTAACCAGATTTTCTCAAGGGAATATCTCAGAGGTTGCAAACTGGTAGCACTCTGGCCATATTCAGGCCATACATTATTGACTTACATAGCATTTTAATTACTTAACAACATTTAAGGTTTGGAGCCAGACATGGTGGTGCACGCCTGTAGTCCTGCACCCAGGAGGCTGAGGTACGAGGATCATTGTAAATTTGAAACCAGCCCAGGCCACAGGGTCTCTTTTGAGAACTTGTCTCAAAAAGACAAAAAAAAAAAAAAAATGGGGGGGATTTGGCCAGGTGTGGTGCCACATGCCTGTAATCCCAGCACTTGGTTCCTGAAGCAGAAGGATTGCTGTGAATTCAAGGCCAGTCTAGGTTACCTAATGAGCTCAAGGCCAACCTGAAGTATGTACTGAGACCTTGTCTCAAAATAAAAATATTTGAGAGCATTTTACATATTGACATGTATGTTGAGTTTGTCTTAAAAATTCCAAAAACAGGACCCAGATTCTCATATGGCAACAGTTAGCCAGGGCTCTTAGCGCTCACCACTTTGAACAGATCACATGCTCTCCGGCTACTGTAGATCTCAGCACTCACTCATTGAAGCCAGGCATCAGTTGGCATTTATGCTACTCTTGGATTTTGGTTTTATATTTGATACAATTAAGAGGAAATTAAATGTTGCTTGTATCAATATCTCTTAATGCAAGCAAACACAAAAAAATCATAGGCCATATTTTTTGGAGGACAGAAGTGTAAAGTTTGTCTTCCAAAGATTATGATTTAAGGATTAGCCATATACTTCACTCACTTAAGTTATTTAGTTGGCCCTCTAAGCGTTTAAGGGTTTTTTGAAATCAACTTTATGAGGTATACTTTATGCATAATAAACTGTACTCATTTTGTACAGTTTGATACACCTTAACAAATTGTGTGTGTATATGAAATCTGTGAAACCAGCACCACAGTTAAGGTGTAGTAGAATATTTTCATCACCAGGAGTTTCCTTGTGCCCCTCTGCAGTCATTCTCACTCCATGCCACTTTCCTTCCCCGTCAGTCTTCACCTCTGCCTCTTGGGAAGCCCTGGTCTACTTCTGTTATTATATATTAATTTCTCCTATTCTAGAATTTCACTTACAGAATTAGATAGTATGAATTCATTCGTGCCTGGATTTTTCTGTTCAGTATAACATTTTTGAGATTCATCCACAGTAGATATATCACTAGTTTGTTTCTTTTTATTGCTCAGGAATTTTCTATCAAATGGAGGTACCAGAGTTTATCACCTCCTAGGATTTCTTTCCCAACTTTTTTATTATTGTGAATAAAATTGTTGTGAGTATTCTTGTGCAAGTCTTTGTGGGGCATATTATTCTTTTTCTTGTGTGAAATTCTAGAAGTAGAATTGTTGAATTTTATGATAGGTGTATCTTTAATTTTATAAGAAACTGCTAAATTGCTTTCCAGTGTATTTCACCACTGTGCATTCCCACCAGCAGAGTGTGAATTTCATTTACTCTGTATCCTTGTCAACACTTGATAGTAGCTATTCTAGTGGTTATGTTGTGCTATTTCATTGAGTTTTTAATTTGTATTTCTATAATGACATGGTGAACATCTTTTTAGATGCTTATTGGCCTTTTGTAGCTCTTCTTTTTTAAAAAATGTAACAGCTTTATTGTGAAATAATTCACATATTGTACATTTGATCCATTTAAAGTATACTATTCACTGGTGTTGAGTATAATCACAGAATGATACAATCAATCACCATAGACCATTTTAGAACACTTTTATCACACCAAAAAGAAACCTCATATCTCTTAGCAACCACTCCCCATAGTGCCCAGCTGCGGACCATTAACCCATTTTCTGTCTCTGTGGATTTACCTGTTATGGACATTTCATAAAAATGGAAATATGATCTTTTGTGACTATGTGGCCTTTTGTTTTGTTTTGTTTTGTTTTGTTTTGTTTTGTTTTGTTTTTTTCTCCGGTACCGGGAACCGAACTCACGACCTTGCGCTTGCCAGGCAGGCACTTTTTGCCCCTGAGCTAAATCCCCAGCCCCCTATGTGGCCTTTTATCACTAGCTTTTTCTCTTAGCATGTTTTCAAGATTCATTGATGTTATAGAATATATATATCTTATATGAAGGATTGCTCAAATCTTTTGCCAGTTTTTAGTTGGACCACTTTTAATTATTGAATTATAAGAGTTCTTTATTTATTTTGGGTACAGTCCTTTGTCAGCTATATATAGATCAAGTATTTTATTCTAGTCTTGTGGCTTGCCTGGTACATAAATTTTCAGTAACCATTAACTCTAAGGCTATGACTCATTATAAGCTTATTATATAAGTTTTTATATTTTTAAATTTTTATTTTATTTAGACCAAAAATTGATTTTCTAAACAATAAACAAAATATTCCTCATGATCAGATTATGTTAATAAGAAACTACAACTAAATGTGGTACTAATACCCTAATAGAATGCTCTTTTAAGGCTTGGAAGTAATTTCAGTACTTTTTATTGTGTTTTTTCAGCTTCTCTAGAAAATAAAAGTTGTTCCTCACCTATTGTGATTATTAATGAGAAACCTACACATGATCACATACCACTCTCACAAGAGAGTCCATCTCTGGTAAAAGAAATAACAGATACTTGTTTATCTGATGAATGTATCTCTGTTGAAAGACCAAAAAATGAAGAAAAACTAAAGAATGATCAAGAAATACTTGATGTAGTGAATCAAAAGAAAGAAACTAAAGTTCACCTTGAACTTGACTGCACAGTACCATTTATTGAATCATCTCCCTCTTCAAGAATTAAAAAAGCATGTTTTGAACATAGTAAAAAAGAGGAGAATGATTTGGACCTTTTGAGCAACTTTATTATACTGCGAAATAAATACAAGACTTGCACTTTCAAGGCTGAAGTTATAGACCATGATAAAAAGGATGGTGGGTAATTTAGTAATATTTTGGCATGGATATGATAGGTTCAAGAATTAAGTGCATAATTTATTATAAAAGACAAAGAAATAAAGCCCTTTTGGGTAAAATTATATTATTTTTCATAATCAAGGGAAATGCCATTGATTTATATACTTCTTATATGTGGAGATGAGTATAGATATAGATTTAGATAGATGTTTTCTAAAAAATTTAAAAATGCATTTGAATTTGTAACAAGACCCATTATTTATACAATTTGTTTTCTACAATGTGGCCATGCAAATTCACAGTATTTCTAAATTTTGTTGCTCATTCTGTCATTCTTTTTTCTCTGTTAGCTGACAGCCCTATATTAATAGTTTAACTTACATTTTAATGTGACTTAAGGACTTTGTTTGCTCATTTATTTGCTTGTGCTTATTACTCTTTCTAATGTTACAAGAGTTTCTGCTTGAGTTGTAATGGTCTTGTTCCCTTAAAGATTAAAAATAGTGTAATGTGTTATAACATTTCATTTATGCTAAACAAAAGACATTCTAGAACAGTTTTGATGGGCATTACCCTGATGAAATAAATGCACAGATATTTACATGATTTAGAGCATAATTAGGTCTTATTGCCCCACGTGTCCTGTGAATAGTCTCAGTTTATAATGTCATGGTGGTTGTATAAACTTTTCCTAAAGACATGACAACCTTTTATAGATCTACTTAATGTTATATTACTTTGTCAGTCAGTGCATTTTTCATGGTGAACATTTTGGTGAAAATGCAGAACAGTATTTTGTGTGTGTGTGTATATGTGTGTGTGTGCATGTGCGCTTATGTGTGCTATCCTCCTGTATTTAAATTATATTGAAAGGGTTTTCCCAAACCTATTCTTTGTAGTCATATTCAGTCTCTCCAGTACCTTCTTTTGAATTATTTTAGCCGGTTATCCTGTGGCTATGCAGTAAAACTGCCCAGGTTTTAGTATCCTTAAAAATAAATTTTCATGTCAATTCTTTTCCCTCTTTCCCCTATCCCTCGTGAAGAAAACTCCAAATTCCTATTTCTCCTGGCCAGAGGAATAAGAAATTGCACACCAATTTGCAATATATCTTGCAAAGTACCCTTTCAGGGGTCTCTGACACTATGCAGAGTGACTCTGAAAGAGCAAAGTCAAGGCTCTGAAACTAGAACAGTATTTTTAAGTTCCAGAATTAAAGTTTCTGCATAGTAGTGTAACCACCTTATAACTTACCTTATTAGGTGACAATTCTATACATAACTGAGATCATTCTAGCTGATATTTATACTGTAATTCAAGCATTATTTGCATAAAAGAATAAGCAAAATATAAATTATAAATATACTTATGAAAGTTGGAAGTTTTAAAGATTTGTTATTTACAGATTTTCAAAGTCAATTCATATTTGGATTCAAAAAGGAATCCACTCCAAAGTTAACACTAACATCTTTTTCTGGTTGCTCTACTTGTAATAATAGCTTACAGGATATAACACGGCATAAAATGAGGAAAAGCAGCAAGAAAGGTGGAAAGGATGACAAGAATGTTTTTAAATAAAAATAAGCCATTGGGGGGAAAAAAAAAAATAAGCCATTGGTTTACTAAGGAAGTAAAGACATGTTAGGGTTAGGTGGGGATGCTTCTGTACTTATGTTTGCTCAGTTGGTGTTATGCTCCTGGCTTCTTTGCTGCCTTATACCTTTTCCCAGTGAGGGTGGAAGGCGCTGTCTAAACTATAAATTTGAAAAATATAAGTTGGGCATAAACTTGGAAGTGTAAACTCTCAGGAGGAACAGGTACCCTGTTTCTCTTAGGTCATGACTCTCTTTTCCCAATAGGGAATTCTCTCCCAGTCCAGCATACCCTAGGACTAGATGGGCCACTCTGCCTAAAACTGGTGTGTAGTTAGCAAGCTATTTGGCTCTCAAATTAAGCCCGGTTCTCCAACTTTTTTTGTTAGTGAGCTTTTCACTGATGGGACAAATTACCTGGCAGCCACAACCTAAGGGAGGAGAAGTTTATTTGGCTTATGACTTCAGAGGCTTCAGTGTGTGCTTGGTTAAAAGTGAGTCAGCAACATCATGGTGGAAGGCCATGGCATTAGAAAGCTGCATAAAAAAGAAAAAAAGAAAAGCCAGGTGTGGTGGTGCATACCTGTAATCCCAGCATCTAGGAGGATGAGGCAGGAAGATCTCTATGCGTTCAAGTCCAGTCTTGGCTACATAGTGATTTCAAGGCCAGCCTGGACTATACAGCAAGACTCTGTCTAGATAAAAAAATAGCCAAAACACCCCCATAATAATAAAAAAGAAAGCTGCTCAGTTTATGACACCTGGGAAGCAGAGTAGAGGAACAGCACCAGAGAGGAAGGACAGGTGACCAGATAGAGATGCCAGGGTTACAGCTCCGTAATATACTGAGACACATCCAGAAGTGTGCTCACTAATCTAGGCATTTATTAATCCAGTCAAATTGACATAGCACAACTAACAGTCACAATTAGTAAGATAGAATGTATTTTACTTCGTCTTTATGGTTGATTCAGGGGGAACAAATATTACACCTTCTTAGACCTCAAGGATTTCAGTAATGAATATTAATTGACTCTACTCAAATTACTTATAGTTGTTGAAAATATTACTTGAAAAAGCAAGCCTAGGATATACTCTGTTATTATACATCCAGCCAGGCATTAAAATATCATATATCAAAATGTGTCAGGATGTTATTGTGTTTATAAAATTATCTTGTATGTGGTGACATTATTGATGTTATATATATTGCTATCTAGTAATGGTGTATATGTCCTGTGCAAATGCCTAGGAAAGAAAAAAGAAGGGAAAGGAAGGGAAGATGTATTGAATATTCTGTGCCAGACAGTGTTTTAGAGATAAATACACTGCTTTTGCTGACCTTGAGATGTTTGCAGTGTAATAAAATAGGCCAGACACAGAGATAATTTCATCCCTATGCATAGAAAGCTGAGGAAACAAAAATCTGGAAACACCTGTTGCTCTGGAAGGAGGAATAAGATGGGCAGTTATATGAGACTTCATATAGAAGGTGCCTGAGAGCTGAAGGGTGAGCAGTAAAGCCTGGCCTACTTGAGAAAGGATGGAGATAGGGCAGCCTTGGGGTAGAGGAGCGAACTGGTTGCAGAAGGAAGGGCATGTGGAAGGTCACAGAGAAATGAGGTAAAATGTTCTGGGCCTTTTATGTGTCAGGGACTGTATATGATGTTTACCCCATCAACAGAAGTTAAAGTAGGTACATTTACCCATACGTTACATGTGAGGACACTCAGACTAGTGTCAGAGCCAAGACTGAAATACTAATCTGCTGCCAAACTCTTTCTGATTTACCATTCATCTTCCTACCTGGCAGTGTGATAGGTTTATTGATCGGAATAGTTCGATTTAATACTGATGTATTTCAGTGAAGAAATACAACAAAGACTATAAAAGAAAGCATTAAAATAAAGCAGCATGAAATTGCTTCTGAAAAATGCAAATTAATATTTTTTGTTAGAATTTCAAGATCAAGAAGAATTGACTCATAAGGAAGAAAGTCCTGTTGTTTTTACTAACAAAACTCTAGAGAAAAAGAATCCGGGAAGGGGAGCAGAGAACATCATTGAAGTTCAAGCCTCAGGTATGCTACATGCTTTTAAAATACATTCAGATTTACTTAATTTGAAGGCCCTTTCCTGGATACCTTACTTTCCTTATTATTCTTCACTTGTTGCAGAAATTTCTTCATTCCTCTTCTTTCAAGTTATTTCCAGAATTAAAATGCCCTGTTCACCGTCTCTGCCCCTCCCCTGCCGGTCCACAAATTGTTATTACTTTCTTTATTAAAACTGCTGCTGCCTCCCTACATTCATCAGAGCCAAACAAATTGCAACTCCTCAGACTCTTCTGCCATGTCTGGAAAATGAAGTGCTAATGGTTGCTCTCTCTGCTGTCTTACCCACTACCAGGGCGGTATAAATAAGTTACTCTTGGTTCCTGTATTGATTAAAATTTTTTTCAGTTGCAGAGAATATTCTTTGATTTCTAAGTACATCCTGCTTAGGAATGTCATGCTTATTATTAAGATCAGTAAGAAATATGATACTAGTTCTCAGCTACCTTTTCATTCTTTTGGTTAGATGCTATATAATTTTATATATCTCTAGATGATTATGCAAATCTTTAATGGAAGTCCAGTGAAAACTAGAAACATTTGTCATTGTTAGAAATTTGGCTTAAATTTGTAACCTAATAATGGAGGGGAAAAGAAAATAATGTAAATTCCTATTCTTAAAAAAAAAGAAAATAATGTAATTCTCTTTATAAGATTCTTCATACTTGCCCTGTTAAATGAGTTAGTTATCAAATAAATCTTTTCTAATAAGTAAGACCATTATATAATTGTTATGAGGATTTTTTTACTAGTTCATGTAATAAATATCCTTGTATAAGTCTGTATATAAGCTATAGTTTGTTTTTTCTTTCAAGCACAAGTCTAACAATCTTTTAACTAAGCTTTAATAACTTGGATAGAAATTCAGGTTTCCATGAACTAACGTGTTCAGTGTGTTATCAAAAACAGCATATCATCCTTATGAAAACATTACTTTAATGCCTTTATTTTTACAGATAGTCAGTGCCAAGCATACTGTTTCCTTGAAGCATCAGCTGCTCTTATCTTAAAAAACCTTGTATGCCTCTGTACTCTCCCCGCTGCTAATTGGAAGTTTGCCACTGTTACTTTTGACCAAACAAGGTTCTTCTTAAAGGAACAAGAAAAAATAATAGATGATGCTATTCACCAAGGTCAGTATAATACTACATGTTAGTTATTATTATTAAGCATATTCTGATCCATATTCTAAAATTCTAATATGTTTTCTGTGTTTTTGCTTATTTAGGTACAGATGATGAAAGAGAAATGACATTTAAGCAAGCTGGTCTTTTACACCTTCTGGTGACGATTAGAGATGTTCTTGTAACATGCAACTTAGACACAGCATTGGGTTAGTTGAGGAAATTTTATCTCTTGTTTTTTGTTGCTGAAATAGTTCTTCTGAAATAATTTACTTTTCAGAAAGAAACATCTCTTAAGAAATTAAGTATCCTTTTATTTCTATTACACTAAGCACATATACATTTTGACATAATTATAATGGAATATACACGTTATATATATGAAAAAAGAAAAAATATATATGTATATATATTTGTGTGTTTTGTTTTGAGCAGTACTGTAGATCAGTACTGCTCAAAACAAAGGACTTCTTACATGCTAAGCAAGAGCTTTACCCCTAAGTCACACCTCCAGCCGAGAACATAGACTTTTGAATTTTGATTGTGTTCATTAATTTTCTATTGTGTTCATTAATTCCCTATTATGTTCATTAGTTCTCTATTCCAAAGTTTTAATGAATGAATGAATCCTAGCTGGAGCCTTCTAGAGCACTCGCTGATCAGATTGTCTAGATTCTGATTGACAGTCACTGATAGCCTAGCTACATGTAGAACCGACAGGAAGCTGAAAAGTATAATGAAGACAGATGGAACAGTAGAAGAGCATGTGATGGTACACCTTATAATTATTTCAAGTACTGTAAACAAAGGTTCTAACCTCCACTTCTTACTGGAGATAGTGGACAACTCTGTTCATTATCAACGCTAAGAGGTTTAATTGAAGAAGAAAGGAAAGCCACCATTTGGAGCTCTCTAAAAGTAGTTATAATGTAGCTAAATGTAGTTATAAAGTAGTTATAATGTAGCCACCATTTGGAGCTCTCTAAAAGTAGTTATAATAATTGACAGGTTGTATACTATGGCAAATAAAAATGTTTGGTATTTATCATAACCTTTGATTGGAGAAATAATGTTTATGGAGAATTGCCTAAAGGATATTCATCTTTGAGTACTCTGTAATTTACCCTAACGTTAATGAGACCGTTGTGAGCTATCTAGTTGGGAGGAATTGTTTTTTGCTCCTCAAAGAAATGCATCCTTCCAACTCACAAGTGGCTCAGATAATCCAATAACCCAATAGGAAGCTTATTAAAAACACAGCACTAAACAACAACAAACACTTAAAATCGCATTTCCATTCAAAGTAATTAGCAATAACATGTTTTAGGGGAATCTCAATCATTCCCATAGTGCCCTCTAGTGGGACTTAGAAGGCAACTCACATCTACCACCCTTGCCAGGTTTGCTATTGACTGAGCAGAGATTGACATTTATATACAGTCAGCTCTGTGTATCCACAGGTTCCACATCTGTGTATTGAAATATTCAGGAGAATTTCATCTATACTGAACATGTGCAATTTTTTCTTGTCATTATTTCCTAAATAATACAGCAATTGTTTATACAGGTTTGTATTGTATTAGGTACTATAAGTAATCTAGAGATGGCTTAAAGTATATGGGAGACTGATGTAGGTTATATATAAATACCATACCATTTTATATGAGGCACTTGAGTATCAGTGGATTTTGGTATCTTCTAGGATCTTAGAACCAGTTCCTTGTAGATATGAGGGACAATTGTGTGTTCTTCATCTAGACTAGGAGCTTCTATATGTGTGGTACCAGGGACTTCACATTTTGCTGTACTCCAGCCCTTTTTATTTTTTATTTCTAGAGTTTCACTAAGTTTTTAAGTTGCCCAGACTGAGCTCAGTCTTGCAGTCCTTCTGCCTCAGCCTCCCAAAGTTGGGATTATAGGCATGTACTGCACCAGCTAGACCAGGAACTTTTTGTGGAACTTCTCTTTGTCCTGGAGCCTAACATTCATTCACTCACTCATTCAACCAGTACTGAGAATCCGTGGTTCCAGTTGCTGTGCTTGGCTCCCAGGGATAACAGCAGAGGAGTCAAATCAAGTCTCTGTCCTCATAGCTTTTACAAGTAAACAACCAATAATAGTAGTGATACAATCTGAGGAAGTAAAGGGCTTACAAAAGTCATTTTCTCTGACCACAATGCAGTGATGTGTTTTGAAAAATAGCATGACCATAATAAAATCAACCTGGTACTGGCTTAAAAACAGACCAGAGGATCAGTGGAACAGACTGGAAGAAACAGACACAACCACAAACAGTCAGCCACCTAATCTTTGACAAAGGGGCCAGAAAAACTCACAGGAAGAGAGATAGCCTCTTTAATAAATGGTGCTGGAAAAATTGGCTTGCCACCTGCCAAAGACTGAAAATAGGCCCAACTCTATCACCATGCACCAAACTCAAGTCAAAATGGATCACAGACCTCAATATTAAAACAGAAACACTAAATCTATTGGAAGAGAAAGTAAGTAAAAACCTTGAAGACATAGGGGTAGGCACAGAGTTCATGAACAAAAACCAAACCTCACGGAAATACTTCAAATAATCAACAACTGGGATCTCATCCTACTGAAAAGTTTCTGCACGTCTAAAGAAATCACCGGCAGAGTAAAAAGAAAACCCTCAAATTGGGAAAAAATTTTAGCTGACTGTCCTTCGGACAAAGGTCTTCTATCTAGAACGTATAAAGATTTTAAAAACATCAGCTCCCCCCAATTCAAAGACCCAATCCAAAAATGGGCAGATGAGATGAACACACATTTCTCAGATAAAGAAATACAAATGGCAAATAAATACATGAGAATATGTTCAACATCATTAGTCATTTGAGAAATGCAAATTAAAACAACACAGATTCCACCTTACCCCAGTAAGAATGGCTAGCATTAAGAAATCAACCAATAACAAATGCTGGTGAGGCTGTGGAGAAATAGGAACTCTTCTCCACTGCTGGTGGGAATGCAGACTGGTGAAACCACTATAGAAATCAGTTTGGAGATTCCTCAGCAAACTAGGTCTAGAGGTCCCATTCAACCCAGCTATTCCCCTTCTGGCTATTTTCCCAGAAGATCTGAAAACATCATAGCACAGTGATATATGTACACCTATGTTCATAGGAGCACAATTTGTAATTGCTAAATTGTGGAAGCAACCCAAATGTCCATCCACTGAGGAATGGATAAAAAGATTGTGGTACTTTTATATAATGGAATTTTACTCAACTATAAAGATAAACTTGAGGCTTTTATAGGTAACTGGTCACAACTAGAGACCATAATCATAAGTGAAATAAACCAGACCTCCATGTTTAAGCAACATATTATCTCATTAGTGTAAGAACCTGAAAGAGTGAATAAAAAGTAGGAGGTATGATAGACATTGTGAAATGAAAGGAAACTGCTCAAAAGTAAAGAGCAACTGGGGTGAGGGAAAAGAGAAAAGAAAGAAGGGGAAATTATGTAAGTATGTATATACAGGATAGCTAACATAGTTGTACCACTGACTTCTATCACTTTACTGAAAGGAACAATTAATGATTACTTATTTGATCAATCTTGCATGTCTCTATTTATTTTCCTAGAAACCACTTTGAAGATATCAATATGTAATACAACAACCATTGTTAATTTCCTACCACTTTGTCTGTAACTCTATATTGCTGGTATTGTTCTTATGATATTTTGTAAATGGATGTCTGTTTTTTAAAAAAATAAAAATGAAAAACAGCATGGCACCTGGGTGGATGGATAGCACAAAATAAGACAGATAGAGCTATACATGAGTGATCAATTAAATAATCATTGACTATTCTCAATGGTTGTTGTTGAAAGCACATAGTAATAAACATACATCCATTTACGAAATAGCATAGGAACAATAGAAGTATTACAGAGTTATGGGCAGATTGGTAGGAAATTATCAGTGGCTGCTGTAATACATGTTGGTATCTTCAAAGTGGTTTCTCAGGAAAACAAAGATATGAAAGAAAGATCTAACAAGTAGTTACAGCCTAAGGGTTGTGAAAAATAGCGGATTACCTCCTCATCAGTGACTCCTTTCACTGAGGTGTGATGGCTGGAAGGAAGGCCAGGATTGAAAAGAAGGGCTGAGAGACCAGCACCAGTGTCCAGCAATAGGCTGTTTACTTTTTCCTCTATAGTTATGATTATGCGGGGCTCTTCCTTGAAGATAGCGATCTGGCCAGAAGGGGCTTACCTTTGTAATACACTTGCATTTTATCCAAAGACCAGTGGGAATGAGTGAACAGTTTTTAAGCAGAAGAATGATGTGATTAGACTTCTGTTTTTAGTGGTCGTGCTGACCGCAGTGGGTAGAGCTGATTGGAGGGAGCAAGACTGGAGGCTAATCAGGAAGCTGCTGCACGGTTAGGACGAAGTCGTTGCTGGGTCAGGGTGGGCGCACGGGGAGTTTTAAATGTACTGGTAAAATTCTATTTTGTGCTGTGCGTGGTAGGGACAAGAGTTTCATTCTTTATACTTTCCATTTATACTACACAAATTCATTAGTATGTGTGAAATAGTTCATTTAAAAATACTGAATGCTTTTTATATATACTGATTATATATAGTGATGTCACAGAAATTTTAAATTTTGGCATAAAAGGATGCCCAAGAACTTCATAAGGGCGGCCTCTAAAGAGGTAGGGCATATTGTAAAGACAGCTGTGGTCCTCATTCTTTCCCCCGTCCTCAGGCTTTGCTCCACGGCTTTTGGTCCCCCCGTACCGAGAGAGAGGTGGTCCGTGATCATACAGAGTGCTTGTGGGGATGTGAAGAAAGTGGAACTCTCATCCACTGCCCACGGGAAGGTTAAATGGTAGAACTTTGAAAAATAGTTTGGCAGTTTAAAGTGAAACATACCTGTCATATGACCCAGCTATTCAACTCTTTGGTATTTACTCAAGAGAAAAAAAAATTATATACCTATATAAGAACTGCAAGTGAATATACATAGTAATATCCAACCTTTTAGAAACAACCCAAATATCAATCAATAGATTAATTTATAAACAAAGTGGGGTACACACATTCAATGGAATGCTACTCAGTAATAAAAGAACTACTGAAACACAAACCAACATAGCTGAATCTCAGTGCTGCAAAAGAAGCCAGACAAGAGTACATACTATATGGTTACATTTATATAAACTTTCAGAAAATGCAAACTAATCTACAGTGACCAACAACAAACCCGTAGTTGCCTGAGGACATGCATAAAGGTTGGGGGATGAGTGTGTAGAAAAGGAGGTATTACAAAGGGGCACAAGATAATGTGGGGGGTGATTGGTGTATTCACTATCTTGGTTGCAGTAATGATTTCATGATCATGTACATGTGTTAATTTATGGTATCTCAATTATTCCTCAGTAAGTCTGTTAAGCAATGAGAAAAAAGAAAGTGGCAACAATGATGGAATAAGTGCTTTTGAAATGGGAAGACTTTTGAGGGGAGTTAATGCCATGTCTTTTACTGTCATAAGTTTTTAAAACTTAAGTTCATATTTTTCTCTCAGACCTAATCTCCTACTGTGAAAGAATTTATATGCTAATACAGTTATCATGTACATACATAACCAGAAATGAAGTACAGAGGCACTGGGGATTTAGCTCAGTGGCACAGCGCCTGCCTGGCAAGCGCAAGGTCATGAGGTCAATTGCCGGAACGGGGGGGGGGGGAGAAAAAACAAAAACAACAACAACAGAAATGAAATACAGAGTTGTACAGAAAAAAATGCTAAGAAAATTTCAGTGAACCAGTATTTCAAGAGGACTTGCCAGGTGTGGTGGCACACACCTGTAATCCCAGCACTTGAGAGGCTGAGGCAAGAGGATCACTGTGAGTATAAGGCCAGCCTAGGCTACAAAGTGAGTTCAAGGCAGCCTGAACTACATGGCAAGATGCTGTCTTTAAAAAAATAAATCCCAGGATTTAGGAAAAGTGGAATAATACTCAACAAGTTAGAAGGCAAGGAAGGTTTGGATATATTCAGGGAGGAGGTAGAATGTACCCAGTATATTACTGTTATATATTTTAAAAAGAAACATAGTACATATTTTATACCTTCACTCAATTTTAAAGAAATAATGTTTGAGGAGGTAGACATATTTAAATTGTTTTAAATGTGTAGAAAATGTCAGGTGGCACTGCAGAAGTATGTGTAATTTTTATATTTTTATATTACAAAATAAATTAAATTTTTAAAAAGTTTTAATCAAACTCAGAATAGGATTAAGTGAAATTTTAACTCTCTCTGTTATGAATCATTTCTTAGATTTTTTGTCATAGAATGTCTCAAAGAACAAAAAGAGTTATGCAATTTTTTTCTAATTTTCCTCTAACAGGATATTTGTCAAATGCAAAAGATGTCTACAAAAGCATTTTAGGTTCCTATTTGGATGACATTTGGAGACAGCTGAAGATTGTACAGTTTATTAAGGGAAAAAAGCCTGAAACCAACCATAAAATACAAGAATTGCAACATCAGATACTAAGTTGGATGCAAAGTCAACAGCAAATTAAGGTTAAATGTTGGAGTAAAGCAAATAAAAGTAATCAGTTTAAATAAGAACTGAATGTAACAAGTTTTTGCATTTAACTTGAAATTATGAAATAGTCTATACTATTTGGCCCTTTGGCAGTTTTCTCCTTCAGTAAGTAATAAAACAAAATCAGACTGAGAAAAGATGATTTGTGTTATATTCCACCTATTTTCAACTTTTAAATACTTTAACTTTTATTATAAACAGTTGCCTATGGGTGGGTTCTCCAGTTGCCAAAACTTTTGCCTGGTACTTATCTAAGCCCTTGAACACTTATATAGTAACAGAACTATAACAATTTATTGTTAGAGATTAAGCCAGAATCCCACCCAACGTGATTGTACCAAAAGTACTTAGTTTATGCCTTGACTTACATTGGAAATTATTGGCTTACTCCACATCAAGCATATGAAGATTTCATTAATGAAGATTTAAGACAAAATGCTTTTTTAAATCTTATCAAGCAGAAAAACATTTCAAATGGCTTTTTCTAAATCTGGATACAATACTCTGGTTTTTCTTCAGATTGTATAAATCTGGATACAGATTTATATGGGCTTTTTCTTCTTTTTCCTCTTTGTCTCTCCTATATCTTTATAGTTTCTTGAGTAACCCTCTTAAGCCATTAAAGTAAATTAAATCAATAAGTGAGAAATTTAAAATTGAAACTGATTTGCTGCACCTCCTCCACACACACAAAAAAGAAACTAATGGTATGTAGGAAAATACAGGAACAAATCATTGGTTTTATCCGACCAATTCAAAGTTAACTGGGTTAAATTTAACAAAATAGACAGAGGCAACGTATGCACTGATAATCATATATGTGGGAATACCTGACGTGTGCTAAGAATACCCCACTCCAAAATACTTTCCTCAATGATATTTCATGTTACCACAATGTATTTGTGTTTAAGCATAGACATTGTTGTCTAATCAAATATTTGCTTTGTAGTCTCAGAGTCATTAGTTTCCTGTGACCAGTGACATTTGTTATTTTGTTTTTGTAACAAAACTGAAAAAGAATAATCATTCAGAGACATATATGAAATTCTTATTTCTGACTAGGTGCTGGTTATAATAAGAATGGACTCAGATGGCGAAAAACATTTACTTATTAAAACTCTTAACCAAATAGAAGGTAGGGATTTCTAAATTGTGCTTCATAGATAACATGCTTAAACAATAAAAATGTTGCTCTAACCTGCTTTTAAAATTCAACTATAATTAGTGTATCATAAAATTTACTGAGTTTACAACTCTGTGGGATCTAACTAATTTTTAAATCAATATAGATTATAAGCCTGCAATAGCCTATAATGTTATCAATAATTTACATTTTTTATTGATTGCCTACTAGTTGCTAATAATACTGGATACTTATAACTCTATAAATAGGTTTTGGCTCAGTTTTACAGGTAAAGAAACAAGTTCATAAAGGTGAGGATCGAGACTTTAATCAAGTTCTCTCTCATTTCAGTGTCGTTTTAACTTTTTACCCACGACTGTCCCCTCTGTCAGCCCTTTGTACAGTGTGCTACAGAACCCGTCACTTCACATGCAGACTCCTCTTCATCTTCCCTGTCTTTAACTGGAACCAACTCTCCCCTCATGATACTGTTTTCCCTGTGTGCTGCCACAGAGAGGCTCATCATCTCCTCTGTGCTCTAGGGGAATGAGGTGGTTGTTTCTCTTTCTCCATAATCATTTCCATACACATTACTCCTCCATCTTTCAAGGCTGAGACACTGCCGTACAGTTTTCTACTACTCTAAATGACTACCCTATACTAACCACCTAGTCACTCCCCGTGACCCATAGATAGTTGTACACCTGGCTCTTGGAATTCTCTATACTCTAGACTCCTAGCCCTGCCGTTTATCCTAGGGGGTCTTTTTATGTTTATCTGTTTTATGGTGCTGGATTGCACACATGCCAGGCAATTGCTCTACCACTAAGCTACATCCCCAGCGCTATCCTAGGTGTTTGAATGTCTCTCACGTGAATGATGTATCTAACACTCTGGCCTTATAGTTTCACTGATCTCCGTAGCAACAATTATATTCATCTTTAGTTCATTCCTTGATTACATCATGCATCTTGTGAAGAACTGTTACCTTTAGACTCTGATACATTGCTCATTATCTACACCTACTTTTATCTCTTTCTTAGTCTATATCTTAGGACAATAGCATCTGTCTTTTTTGCTTCATTTTCTTTTCTTTCCACACTCTGTATTTTGATCCATCCCTTCAATCAATCTTGACTTTCTGTTGTACTTTCTGTTTAAATCTTAATCCTGAATCAATCAATACATTTAAATTCTCTATTCATACCCCTAAGCTGCTCAGCACTATTGGAAAAAGTCACACAGCCATGTACGTGGGTACCACTACAGACCCATGTACTCTGAACCTACCTAAGCTTTAAATACCTCTCACCAGTCTTTCTCTATACACTATTCTTAGTTCACATTCCTATTTGCGAATAGATAACCGCAAACCCATACCATGCCACCCATCCTCTCATTTTTAGAGGGGACTTATGCCTTTTAATTTAGGTAAGGATCTTTCTCAGATTCCTTCCCTACTATATACAAATTTATCTTCATATCTTTCTGTTCTTTTATCCTTTAATCTTTTCTCTGTAGACATGAACCTTCTCCCATTGAAGACCTGTCTTTTACTCGTGCTTCGGATATGATCTGTCCCCTTAGGCCTTTAGTGCCTTAGCCCATCAGTTCTTTCCTAGTCCCACTTTCCTCTCTAAAGGCTCGTTTTCTTGTTATACAAGCCGTCTAGTGCTAAAAATAAAATCCCACTCTCAACCTATGTCACCTTTTGGTTACTGTTTCTCTTTCTTCTATAAACTATATCTTTCCTCATCTTTATTTCCTAAAATAGTTAATGCTACCAAAATATTTATCATGCTGTTTTATACCTCCATGACTTTATACTTGCTCCTTCTGCTATGAAAATGTTCTTCTTTAGGGAATTAATTCCTACACATCCCTTAAAAATGAGAGGTGCTGGTGCTGTAGCTCAGGGGTGAAGGGCTCACCTAGGCCCTGGCTTCAATCCCCAGCATTGCAAAAAAAAAAAAAAAATTAGTTAAGAGATGTGTTTAGGAAATCTTCATTTAGATGCTTTCCCCCTGTACTCTCAAGGCATTATGTGCATTCTTTAAGTTACCCCTAACCAGCTTGGGCTGATTCTCTTTGCTTCGTGCCCACTAAAATGCCAGCTTCTGGCAGATAGGGATTATGAGCAAATGTGTGGTTCCAGCACCCAGGGAAATGCATGCAACATAGAAGGCATTCCTCAAGAGTTCACTGAATGTGCCAGAGAATATCTCTCTGTGTACGCTGACACTAGTAGAGACAAATGAATTCACATACAAATATAACAACAAATATCTGAAAAAAAAAATATCTGCTTATCACTTAACTAACATTTTAAATTACAGAAATGTGAGAATGGAAGATTCTTTTGGCTGAGCCTTCTAAAGAGCTATTTCTTAATGAATCATATGTCCAGGTCCTGGATTTACAAACTTGGACTTTATTCATAATTTCATTTAGTTTTTCAACCCTGGGAGGATGAGTTCTTATTCACTACGTTCATAAGATTCTTAGTACCAGAACAATAGAGCAATAGTTAACAATTTCATAGCTGAAATATTTGCAGATTATTACTCTGTGTCTTTTCTTAACTAGGCTTCATGCTAAAAACTTAATTTTTTTTTGCATTTGGAAATACGTCATCCTTCTTGCTATGTTAATTTCAACAATGTCTACTGACACAGAAATCTTGAGTCTATAAACTGGAAAATGTTTTTATTCTCTTTCATACAGACAAGTACCTTTGTTTACTAGGAGCTAGGGGTTTTTTCTGCCTAGTGTTAGAAATATGTGGTTTCATTTTTCATATACTTTCGAGATCTAGTTGTCTACTAAGTAGTATGTTTTAGGATCATAACAGATTAAGTTTTAAATAATATGAATCATGTTATAAATCATAAAAGAGAAATTATATTCATTTCTCCTGCTACCAATCTATTGTCAAGTACCAAACTTACCATGTCAAGTAAAGTTACATATAATTACTAATCATACTCCATTATTAGTACATAACACCTTCATGAACTTTATGACTGAAAAAGTATACTAGCAGAGTACAGAATTAATCTGAACTACATTTAGCTATTCTTGAATCAGCTATGTCTATCAAAATTAAGCTGAATGGGAAGGCACAAAAATTTTTGAAATTTATATTTTGTTTTAATATTATTAAAATAAGAAATTTCAATTATAATTAAGAAGCCGGAGTGACTCTAAGAAATAGATGGTGCCAATAAGTCTTCTGCTTGTTATATAGCCAACAGAAAGGAGGAGAGGGGCAAACACTGATATCACATTAAAAGATAATACATCGGTTCCCAGTACCCCCAAAAAACAAAACAGAACAAAAAAGATAATACAGTCTCTTGTTATTTTTTTTAATTTTTGGCTAGAGAAAAATGTAAAAAGTCAAAATAAAGGCCAGGTGTGGTGGCGCACGCTTGTAATCCGAGCACTCAGGAGCCTGAGGCAGGAGGATCATTGTGAGTTTGAGACCAGCCTGGGCTACAAAGTGAGCCCAAGGCCAGCCTGAACTGCATAGCGAGACCATATCTCAAAAAGACAAAAAAAAGTCAAAGTAAGATTTACTATACAATTAATGAGTGTTTAGTTACTTTAAAATTAATTTTTTTATCCATTTTATTTCACATGGGAACTTTTAGAGTTTTTGCTTATGGTTTAGAATTTCTGATATGCTAGACATAGAAAAATAATCCAGCATATCATATTTGAAGTAATTTTGTGATTCATACACTGTTAGTTCATTTTTGATGGAATTAAATAGTGAACTAAAAATATGTTTATGAACAAAACTCTGAAAAATGCTCTTGTTGAAAAAATATTCTTTTTTCCAACAGGCTTAACACTGACTGTCTTTCATTCAAGTAAAAGAAAGGATTTTCTGGAATCTAAAGGTGTTTTAAATAGGTAAAAGTGTATTTCTTTATCTATGGGAAACAAACATATGAATTCCACAGGAAAGACAAAATTTGCCCTAGAATTTAACTTTAAAAGTTTAATAAAATCTAGCTGGGCATGGTAGTGTGTGCCTGTAATCACAGCAGTCAGGAGGCTGGGGCAGGAGGATCACTGCAGGTTTGAGGCCAGCCTGGGCTACATAGTGAGTGCAAGGCCAGTCTCTACTACCTAGTGAAACCCTGTCTTGAAAATAAAATGAAGGAAGGAAGGAAAGAAAGAAGAGAAAGAAAAGAAAGAATGAATAATGAATCTTGCTTGTAAGATGAAATTGATTTCTTGTGTTGATTTCTGTTACTGATAGTACTTAGGTAATAAAATCAGAAGCATATTTTAGGTAATGATATAGTCTACACTTTTGTATATCCTGGTATTTTAAAACTGTGATCATCACAAAGAAGATAAAAGATTACTACAACTGGAGAAGAAATCAACAGAAAAATGCACTAGTGACTTTCCAAGTTGAGTAGGCATAGAGAATAACCAGAAGCAGTCATCTGTTAGCATTCCAATTAAATAATGACACAAGTATAATTCCATTTTCTTGGGTTTCTTTTGTCTTCAGTAATAGTTCCTGTGTAATTGTACATAATCAAAATATTGGAGCAGATTTTCCCTGGAGTAATTTCTCATTTGTGGTGGAATACAATTATGTAGAACACTCTTGTTGGACTAAGCACTGTGAAAAGTTGAATATTCCGTACATGGCCCTTAAAGTGATTCTTCCAGACTCACTTTTAAAAAGTAAGGATATAAAGCAATGCCCTTTTCTGCTTGCATTAGAATGAACATTTTTTGCTTTCTATTTATGATGTATGGAAAGAAAATAGGGTGTAGTAGAAAATATTTTATAGTTATATTCATTTCCTTGCCTTTGATTAGCTATATCTTTTTATATGTGAATTGATCTTTTTTTTGTCTTTTTGAGGAGGAGTCTCACTATGCAGTTCAGGCAGACCTTGAGTTCACTTTGTAGCCCAGGCTGGTCTCAAACTCGCAATGATCTTCTTGCCTCAGCCTCCTGAGTGCTGGGATTACAGTCATGCCCACCACGCCTGGCATGTGAATTGATCTTGAATAGACATTCTTTTAAAAATTATTTGGTTATTTATTCTTTTCCTATTGGTCTGTAAAATGTTTTCTGTGAATTGTACATAGTTTAAAATTTTGATATAAATCAGTTTTATTTACATAGCAAATGTCCAGTACATACTTAAATATGAAGTGTCCAGGCAGAGAATGATCTTATTTTTCCCCTTTTTAAAAAAGTATAGTTGAGGGGCTGGGGATTTAGCTCAGCGGCAAAGCGCCTGCCTGGCAAGTGCAAGGTCGTGAGTTCGGTTCCCGGTACCGGAGAAAAACCAAAAAAAAAGTATAGTTGAACATAGGCAGGCAAATGTATAGAAAATTTTATATTAAATATCTTTTAGTATATAACAGTGTTAGTATTTTAGTAGTAGTTTTAATTTTAGTAAGTTTTAGCAGTAATTAAATATTAAATAAGTAGAAGAATAACATGGTTGGTTTGAATGTTTGCCCTGAGGTACTGAGGATTGAACCTAGAACCTTACACATGCTAGGCAAGTGCTCTACCACTGAGCTATATCCCCAGCCCCTTTTATTCTACTTGAAGACAAGGTCTTACTACGTCACTCAGGCTGACCTCAAACTCATAATCCTCCTACCTCAGCATCCCATGTAGCTAGGTTTACAGGAGTATGCCATCATATCTAGCTTTTTATTTTCTTGTTCAGTCCTTCCTTTATTCAGATTTCTTATTTTTTTACAGTGAAAATTATTTTTTACAGCTCTTTGAACATATGCTTATTAATTTCATGTTTAGTAAAAAAGAGAAAGTGCTGAGGTATGAGAAAAAAGGTAAATATTTGTCAATATTCGCTTTATTTAGGAAGCACCTTGCTGGATAGATTTGGTGGTTTTCTTTTGAAAATCCAGATTCCATACGTGTTTTTTGCATCCGAAGGACTTCTTAATACTCCAGAAATACTTCAGCTGCTAGAATCTAAGTAAGTTATTGATTTTGTAATTTTAGCAAACATAAGTAGATAGATAGATGATAGATAGATAGATAGATAGATAGATAGATAGATAGATAGACAGTAGGCTAAATACTATGCTTTACATGTAATACTGTTGTCGCTCTGATCTAAGAAGTCTGGAGTTATATCACATAAGAAGAGTTTTCCAGAGTGTTTTTGTCAATTTATATTTATATCCCCCAGCTATACTCTCTTAATTATTGAGTATTATCTTTTTGGTAATATTTACCAGTTTTTGGAACAAAAAACTAAATTATTCTTTACATTTATATTTTATATATATTTCTTATGTTACCAGAAATATAAACATTTTTATTTTTATATGAATTATATATTTATGTCTTAGAGTCATCAGTAACACTGAGAATGAATATTCTTCTTTAGGGAGCTTTAAGCAGTACTAGAAATAATATTAGGAAATTCTAAATGAATGCATAAATTTTTAGCTCTTCATTATAAAGTCATACCAACATTATTTTAAAATCAGAAACCACTTCATCATAGCTCACAAGCTGCCATAGGAATATTGAACTTTGGACAGGATAATTGACCTGTGACCTCAGTTAAAATGCACATCGGTGTTCCATGCTTTTGTCTTGATATTTTAAGGCTGTGGGCCACTCATAGGAAACAAACTTAGAAAAGGTGACTAAAATGTAGGCCACGGGCCGGTGATATAGCTCGGTGATAGACATGTGGTTAGCAAGTGTGGAGATCTGTGTTCAATACCCAGTGTCCTCCCATGAGAAAAAAAGCAGGCCAATTTTAAGGAAAAAGAAAATTCTGATAAATGGAGGCTGTTTTAGTGTCATAACAGTATTTTGAGTTTGTGACTTACTTGAAGAGCTAGAACGAATTCATCAAGACATTTGTAATGGTGTTAGATACAATAATAGTTATCACAATACCTAAGGCAGCACACACCTCAACTAATTCGCTTTATGTACTCAATAAATTGTAATTTCCTTCTTAAAATTTATAAAATGGAATAAATTGATGTGTGGAAGAAAAAGTACAGCAATTCAGTTAAAATACAGGAGGACGATGGATCGTTCCTTGCACAGTTTTTCTTGGCCATTTCAGTTTTTCACCCCAAATACTGCATTTCACAGCTACAATATCACGCTAGTGGAGAGAAGCTGCAGTCCGTCACTGAAGCTCTTCGGAAGTCCGGAGCGCTATGTAGTGTTGACAGTTGATGAACACACTGCTGTCATTTTGCAGGTAAAAACTATGCAGTAAAAAAATATAAACTCAAATACATTAGAATACATATAACTTCAATTTATTATTATCTTTTCAGTAGACAGTGTATAACCTATTAGTGATTCCTTCTGACTTTTTCAGATGGGCCACAAGTGCTAAAATCATCACTGGAGAATGACTATCACCAAAGTTCTTTGATGCTTTATAATCTTTAACATAACTTAAGACAAAGTAAATATGGAATTTTAATGTTCTATATTGACCTATGTTAAGTACATTCATAGGATAATTATAGTGTATGAATTCTTGGCTGAATTTTCCTTATGTTTCTAGATTAGAGTACCAGTTGCAAGGATATTAATTTAATGGGTTAAGAGTGGGAAGGAAAAGCCAGGTTTGATGGCACAAAGTATAAATTATTGGCAAATATAGAAAGGTACAGTCTGCTCTGGTGAGCAAAGCCTGCAATATAATAATTATATGAACTTGGCATAGTAGCACACACCTGTAATCCCAGTGCCCTGAGAGGCTGAGGCAAGAGGCATGCAAATTCAAATCCAGCCTGATCAAGTTAGTGACTAAATGAGATCGTGTCTCAAAAAAAAGTATACAGATGCTGGGTATGTAGTACAGTGCAGAGGCCCTGGGTTCACTCCCCAGTACTATGAGAAAAAAATTAGATGATGGAAAAACACAACTCTGTTAGATAAGAGATACTGTGTCTAACATATTTAAAGTTCTTATTTTTCCACTTGGCAAAATTTTAAATCCAGTTATACATTGTTAGAAGGAAATTTTCTGAGTTATTCACTGTATCAAAAATCACTTGTGTTACCCAGGCATGGTGACACCTGTAATCCCAGCACTCGAGAGGCTGAGGCAGGAGGATTGCTGTGAGTTTGAGATCAGCTTGGACTACATAGTGAGTCCAATGCCTGCCTGAACTACATAGCAAGACCCTGTCTCAAACAAGCAAACAGACACACAAACAAAATTACTTGTGTTAAAGGAAAAGCAGACTCCAAGCTATTAGGTGGGGATTCCTCGGAATTCCATTAACTGCTGCTTTCTCGTCTCCCTTGAACAAACGTATAATACAGGTTATTTCATGCTGTTTGAAATATATTTTCTGTTGCCTTCAGAGTCGCCAGGTCCAATCCACAAAGGACGTTGCCAAGACAGAGGTGCTCTGTAGGCTACTTTCTGCATATCAAAGGACTTTAGGAAACTGATGGACCTTTTTTGCTGCAGTTATCATTACTTGTTTTGTGTGTAGAGTGGCTTTTCCCCCACTATTTCCAGTGTGGTTTTAATCTTTCCTTGAAAAGGGAGCCCATACTTATGCCTGTTCTCAAGCTATCATTTATATATCTTTGATTCTTGAAATATAATGACAATTTTAAACAACTGTTCAACCTAATGAATCTTTTATTCTCTTTATTTTCTGATAGGATTTAGAAGAATTGAATTATGAGAAGGCATCAGACAATATAGTTATGAGATTGATGGCATTATCATTCCAGTACAACTATTGCTGGATAATATTATATACCAAAGATACATTAAATTCAGGGTATGTAACTATTTCCTCTTTAAGTCATGTTCATATTTCTTGTCATTCAGTCTGGCTCTTTGAATAGCTATGCAAGTTTTTTCTTGCTCCTCTAGTTTGCCTTAATTTAAGGATTCTCAAGACAGAGGCATGATCATAGCAAAACACATCTGAATTTTGGAAATGATACATGTTCCGCTGGATATTCTATGAAAATCATTCTCTCCTTCCCCCATCTCACTGTGAATTAGTTCTAGTATTTTATAACTTTGTAATTCTGGACTTGTCTGCTAGAAGATAACTTCCTTCTAAAATCCTATTAAATATATCAACTTTTTACTGATAGATATTTTGTGATTGTATAGCTTTTATTATACTTTCTTTCACTGATGCACTTAACTGAAAAGCTGTGAAAATTCCTTGTCAAGACACTGACTCAGGTTATCCCTGTTTCTCCTTTCCTTACCTCTAAACATTACTAACTTGACACTTTCACTTTCTCCTTTTCTTCTACCTCCTTACTGATTTTTGTCCCTCAAAGGTCACTCATGACTTTCTTATGATCATCTCCAAAAATATTTTTATCTTTCAGCACTCTGAAATATTTAAGTGTTATCAGTGCTTTCTTATTCTAAACTCTTCAATTCCATGATACTTCAGTATTTTTGACCTTATGCTCCCTAAGTACTTTTTCTCTGTTTTTGTCTTTTCTTTTTTGTCCTAATCTCTAAATATATTTGTAATGAGTTCCCTTTTTTTTTTTTCTCCTATTTTATCAATTGAGAAAAATTTTTTTTCAGTACTGGGTGATGAACCCAGGACTTCATGCTCTACCACTCAGGTACATTCCCAACCCTTCTTATTTTGTTTTGTGGAGACAAAGTCTCACTAAAATGCCTTGAATTACTCCTCCTGACTCAGCCTCCCCAGTAGCTGGGATTTCAGACATGCCCCACTTTGCTAAGCTCCATTTTAAGTCTTACCCAATTCCATAGCTTCAGTCATTGCCTTTGTGCATGTAATTACATTTACTTCTGCAGCTTTGGTCTGTCTTTGGAATTCCTGACATGCACCTCTAATTTTCAGTTACATATTTCCACCTTGATATTCTAGACTCTCAGACTTAACATGTTCAAATATGAATTCATTATATTTGCTATCCCTGCCAAACCAGTATCTGCTCTTATCTGCCCCTTAGTTATTTTTTTTAATGTATAAAGAAAAAAGGTTTATTTACCTCACAGTTTTGGAGGCTGAAAGTCCAAGCAGCATGGTGCTAGCTCTGGTGAGGCCTGTGGTTTGCATCACACCATGGTGGATCGTCCAGCACACTGACAATTGTGTGTGCAGGAGCGAGAGCTCACCTTGCCATACAGGAAGCCTGAGAGCAAGGACAATTGTGACTTGCTTTATTGTTGTTGTTGTTGTTGTTTTTAAGTAATAACCTTCTCTTGAGAACTCCTGTGATCCTTTCCAAAGACATATACCCTAGTGACCTAAGGACTTCCCACTATCTCCCATCTCTTAAAGGTCCCACTGACTCTTTACATTGCCAGACTGGCAATGCAACTTTCAACATACAAACCTCTGGAGTATAATTCACTCCAAACTGTGGCAGTGTCTCCTCCACATTGTCCAATCTAGCAGTAACATATGACTATAATTCTTAGAAACCAGGGCAGGGACAGAGGGTGAAGATTGGAACCAAAGCCCCTTCTGTTGTTATTCCATCAGACTGCAGACAGTTGATTTTTGATGGGCTACACAAACAAGGCAATGGAGAGTTTCCCAGGTAAAAGTTAACCCAGACATGCCAGAGCCATTCCTTGCCTTTTGAGTTGGTTCCTGTTCATGCTCGTTGAGACACTTGTATGCAATACCCTCGCTGACCTTGCTGGTATATGACAAAGGGCCTGCCAGAGTGTTTTCAAGGCAGGCAGCAGCACCTTTTCGAGTGACCAGTGGGCAGAGGGGTTTTGAGTTCATTTTTTGGCATAACTTTTCTTTTGGTCATCAAAACTGGAAAACAGATCTTTTAGTTCAACAACTATACTTTCTTTTCTATTTATCCCCTCTGTCTTAGTTACTTTTCTCATTGCTGAAAAAAAATACCTGACACCCAATGTTAAAGGAGGAAAGTTTTATTTAGCTCACAGTTTGTAGAGGTTTCAGTCCATAATCGTCCGGCTCCAGGGCAGGGTGACACATGGCAAAGGGGCAACAGTTCATGGCAGTGGACGATAGCAAAAACAATGAGAGAGAAGAAGAGATAGAGAGATAGAGAACAAGGCTCTTTCTGTCCCGTATATTGTATGCAGACTACCTTCCCTAGGGCAGATGTAGCACTCACACCCTTAATCCCAGCATTGGCCCACAAATCAATCACAAACTCTAGATTCAACCACCTCCAGAAAAACCCTATGACTACACAAGGTTTTGGGGGGACATCTAGACAAAAACCATAACACCCTCCCTCCATTTATATTACCAGTGTCAGAGTTCAGATTCTTCTTATTTTTTGTGGGCTATTATGACAGATTTCTAACTGTCTTCCTGATATAGGGGAAAGAAACTCCCAACCTGCTAGATGTCTGAAGCTTGTGTTCTCTAAAGTCGAGGCATGAATTCTAGGAACAACAAAGGTTAAGAGTAGGAAGAATTTATTGAAAGAAAGAAAAGCTTCTGTCTAAGAGAGACAGAAGGGCCCCAGAAAGTGGGTTGCCCTCCAACCCTGCTTTTCAAGGGTTTTATGGAGCAAAACCTTGAGATGAGGCAGGTTCAAGCTGAGGCAAAACTATAGTCAACTAATAAGTTTACAAGTATAGTCGCTTAGGCAATATTGACCCAATGGGAAGTCACAAGATGGGTGTGAGGTGGGACAAAACTATGGGGAACCAGTAAGATTACAACAAGTATAGTTGCTTAGGTAATATTGACTAAATAAGGGTCAAGTTGGGAAGCAAATATCGTAGCCAGTGCACAGGGAATGGACAAGGACTTTCCTGGAAGGGGTGTGTAAGGAGGTTGGGCCCTCCACCCCAAGATGATTGATGTCTATTTAGGATATCAGTCACCACTGTTCATCCCTAGGGGAAGTACACGGGTAGAGTTGGTCCACTTTTCTTGAAGCCTGGCCTTCAGTGACTGTACCTGCTGCCACCGTTGTCTTCTGCATTGACCTTTCCAGGGCTCAGCCCTGTCTGACTGCCTACACTATTTCTAAATAACTTAGCTACCCAGAATAATAATAATAATAATAACTGAGCTGTCCACGATAGTCCCGTCTCCAGTGCCACTCAATATTCTTCCACATGCTGCATCTTATACGCAAGTGGCATTCCTAAAGCCAGGCTCTCATTGCTTTACTCCTACGCCTTTGCTGCCTCATGTTTGGTATGTTTTACGTTATCTTTTGGGGGTACTTGTTTCATAGCATGTAACACATTGCTTTCATATGACACATGCCTGGTAAACATTTTTTGAGTGACTGAAAAAATTTTTCCTACCAATTTACAAACTAATCTTACTTATTTTTTTATCCCTACATAACCACATAACTCATGTTAGAAGTTTTTAATATATCCTAAATTTAATTATTAGGAAAAGTATAAATACCTTATTGACTATACCTGTGTGGTTTTTTTTTTTTACTGATTTTATTTGCCTTCATTTTTGTTTACTACTGTGCTAAACTCTTTGTATTAATTATTGTCATGTGGTGATAAGTATAAGTTTGAATGTAAGACTCTAAACACCTTGGATCTTATTTCTTCTGTTCTGGGTGGTGATGAGATCCTGGGCAGGTTTCTAGGTTCTTATGCACAATGAAGAAAGGGTTGGACGTGACATACAGTAGTAACAAAAAAGCAGCAAAATTTAATGAAGTTTAATTAGGCAGTGGTATGCTCAGAGTGAGCGGGCTCACACCAGTGGAAAGGAAAATGGTGCAAGCACTGAATGTGTTGGGTTTAAGAATTTAAAATGTTGCACTGGGTCTGTGGTGCCTCCCTTCGGGTCTTACAGAGCATTATTGACAACGTGATTGACAGGTTGCTGTCATGTAAGCTGTATCTACCGTGCATGTCCTTCGCTATAATTCACTCTGCTATAATTGGATGCATGAGATGTAGTCCATATGCGTGAACCATTGGTGTGCTCTCAGCGAAGAAAGGTTATCGTAGGTCATGCTGGCAGGTCTGGCACAGGTGTACTGTATCCTGGTTTAGGACTTTGGAATCTTCCAAGGCAGGTCCAGTGGTCGTTGTCTTTCTTATCTCTGCCTCCGGATAGTGGGCCTTCAGGGCAAAGGTCAAGTATCAAGGAGGTTATCCCTGGGGCATCGTTCAGGTTTATGTTAGTAGAGGGGAGTGGTCCCATAGCCCCATTTGTACTGTCTACTGTATATTATTTTTTCTACTAACAGATAACTTGTAGAAGTCATTAAGCAGTGGTTTTTTTTCTAAAAAGTTATTAATAATTCAAGTTTAAAATCTTCATTTTGAAGATAAATAAAGTCTATAAAGCATTTTAAGGTTGGCTCTTGTTTGTAAAGCATTTGAAACTTTTTCCAGAACTTGGAAGAGTTCTAGTTTAACTGATTTGGAATTTTCAAAGTTGTTTTCAGATTACTGCCCACCTATAGTCCTAGTGGTGCAACTGAAATATAGGGAAGAATAAGAGAAGACTCAAACATACTTTTACCCAGATTGTCATGAAAAACATATATATATTTTGAGATAGCCTTATATTCAGGATGTAAAGAGTTACAATTTAGTCACAATAATTTATTATTAAAAAATGTAATTATTTTCAGACTTCTAATTACCTCAGTTCTATATTTTTAGATGATTGAAACTTTTAGAAAGTATCTTAAATGACTAAGTAAAGGAAATTGAAGCTACAAAAAATGATTTGAATTACCTTAATAATTCACGCCATGAATTCCTGTTTGAAGGTGACCACCAAGGGTTCTTAATACCATCCTGAAGTTTGATTTCTTGCTAGAAAGACTCATCACAGAGTTATTTATTAGAGTGCAAGGCTGCAAAGACTTACCATGCAAATTTAATGAAAGAAGTTCAGGGACAAAGTTCAGAGGAAACCAGCAGAAAACTTCCAAGTCCTCTCTTTCACACATAATGTACTTAAAGTTGTGACCTCACTGTCTTAGTTACTTTTTTCATTGCTGAAACAAAATACTTGACACCCAAAATTAAAGAAGGAAAGGTTTATTTTATTTTATTTTTGGGTTTTTGAGACCAGGTCTCATTATATAGTCCAGGCTGTCCTTAAACACACTGTGTAGCCCAGGCTGGCCTCAAACTCTCAGTGATCCTCTTGCCTCAGCCTCCTAAGTGCTGGGATTACAGGTGTGCACCACCACACCTGGCAGGAAAGGTTTATATTTGGCTCACAGTTTGTAGAGGTTTTAGTTCACAGTTGCCTGGCTCCAAGGCAGAGTGGTATGGCAGAGGGACATTATACAGGAGAAACAGTTCAAGGTGGGCAGAAGGAAGGAAGGTAGCAAAACAGCAAAGCAACAAGGAAAGCCATAGCAGCAGCCTAGCCTGCCTCTCCCTTTTATCTCTTGCAGGGTACCCACCTTCCCATCTCCACAACCAGAACTATGCCACACCAATCAGTAGAATAATTCAGTAATCAAGTACCCTTAATCCCAGCCTCCCACACTTAATCTCAGCATCACACACCCTAGATCCAGGCACCTCTGAAAAGCTCCACCTATGACCACATGAAGCTTTGGGGGGACATCTAGACACAAGTAATAACACTTACAAACTTTTTTTTCTAGTATGGAGGCTCAATGGGGGCACAGTGCCTCTATATTAAGGACTAGTCAGATATACACCTGCTGCATAGCATTTGTCAAAATTCCAGACTCTAAGAAAGAAAGAAGGTATTCAACAAAAACCACATTATTTGCGCACTTTAGGCACACTGAGCCACTCTTATCAAACTGTTACTTTTATGGAAACAGCTTGCTTGAGAGAGAAGCCAACACAGAGGAAGGAAGAGCCAAGAAATAAAGATAACATTATCTTGATGGCATTGTTTGAGTCCCTGGATCCAAAAATACCTTCCCTTAGACTTCCTAGCTATTATTGCTTAGGATACATAAAAGATATGACACAGGGTAAAGGTTGTAGAAATATACCACTCAACATTCACTTCAGACCTGTTTAATAACCATAAGAGAGAAAGAAAGGGTGCTTTATCTAACAGAACAATACAGGAAAAAGACCCAGGAAAGATTCTAGATGTCCTGGTTCTCATCACGTGTTCATATCTGTTAGTTTGACCAGGGGGTTGGAGCACTCCAGTTGTTAGACATTGGTCATGTAATCCCCCTGGGCCAATATGGAGATGAGTTAAGTTCCTCCCCTCCACCCACACCTCCCTACACACACAGCTTCAGCCTCTCCTAGCTTTAACAGTATTTGTTAATGGTAAAAATGTTTTTCTCAAGAGAGCAGAGTAGACAGAAAGCAACATGAGCTGCCGTGCTAGTATTGTCTTGGCCAGGTTACGTTGCTAATGTGATAAAAACAAAATTTTCATCAGCACAGTTAGATGGGAAGTGAATAGAATTACAGTACTATGATTCTTTCTAGGTACCCTCTTACAGAAAAGACACTTCATCACCTTGCACTGATATACACAGCTCTGGTCTCCTCTGGGCTTAAATCTGAAGAACTGGATGTAAAGGTATTGTTTTCCTTTATGTTTGTCCATAAATACTTTTCATAAACTAAAAGCACACTCGAACTCAAGTGGCCAATGAGAAGAAACATTAAATGGACAAATTAAAAAAGAACAGCTTCAAATGAATACATCTTCTTACCATATAAACTTGTGCTTTAAAAGCTTTAGTTTAGTGAATTTTAAGTCACATTTTCTCCCCTAATTTCTTTTTTTCCTCCCTTAATTTCTATTTTAGATTTTAAACAGAACAGAATGTGAAAAAAAATAAATCTCTTGATCAAAACAGTTCCTCCTGAAAGATGTACTGTTTTTATCTACTGTATAATAGAAATTTTATGACATATGAATAGGGTAATATATTTCTAACCTCTAATTAACATGCCTTCTTGGTTCTGTTTGTCAGTGTCCTACTCTGAAATTTATACATTTGTCCAAGTGCAAGGTGTAACATCCTTCCTTTCCTTTAAGAACTCAAACATTCCTATCGAGATAGCTTTCTTTTCTGAGTACAATTCTTAAATGTACAGTGCAGTATATCCCTTTTAAAATACATATACTCCCTGTGTGTACTAACAGTTTTGTGTTTGTTGTTTTTGTGTGGAAAATACGGACGTAATTATTTGTAAGAGTTTATTTGCAGTGCTAGGGATCAAACTCAGAGCCTTGTGCACACTGGGCAAGCTCTCTACCCTGAACTATTGCCCCAGACCTTGTGCTGTTCCTTAAATTTTCACAACAGTGCAGAATTTTTGTATTTCTAAGCTATCATTATTTAGAACAGTGTTTTCTGTCCACATTACGCTGCTAATCTGTAAACTGTCACAGCTTCAGTTAAATCTAAAAGGTAAGAAAGACAAAGATAAATGCAAACAGGAAAAAATTGACATTTCTGAAGGAAGTAGGGCACAGAGGGAAAAAAATGACAGACAGGAAGTAAAGGATATTAAGAAACTCTTTTTTAAAGCTTACTACACACACAGTGCTTTAGCAGGGGTGTCAGAATCAAATAGGCTAAGGTGGCATAAACAGTTTCTGAAATACTGGCAATGACAACTCTAAATGAAAACTTCTTTGTCTTTTTAGTATAACATCAAATTAATTCATAATTCATTTATAAGTGTCTTATTTTCTAACATGGTTTTTGAAAAATACTGTACTTTTTGAGTTGTTATTTTTAGTTGAGAACTATTAGGTTTAACCTAGAAAAAGCAAAATATCAAGTATTACTCTTGCTCTTCAAATTAGTGCTTCTTTTAACATAGACAAAACATAATACCAAATACATTTTAAAGACTGTATTAATGGATGTTAAGTAAGAGTGGAAAAACTAGTTTAAAAGATTAGGAAATACCCAGATACCATATTTAAAGAGAAAAAGTTGGTTATCCTCACATATAAAATATCTTGGATTTCAGTAGGCACATTACTAAAATATATCCAAAATAAAAATCCACTGATAAGAATCCACTCTTCTAAAATTTTCTCTTTTAATTACAAACTGTTTTGAATGTTAGATTTTGCTTCCTAATATTTTCTATAATCTAACACATGACAACTCTATTTTAGCTTACAATGGCCTCTAGAGTGGAAGAGATTGCATTGCTAATTCGACAAATTGCTGACCACAATTTAATGACCTCAGAAAGAGATCCTCATGAATGGTTGGATAAATCCTGGCTTGACATTTCACCATCAAAGGTTTATTTTTCTAAATGTATAAATTAGATACTTATTTATTTATTTAGACAAGGTCTCGCTATGTAGTTCAGGCTAGCTTTGAACTTTGCAGCCCATGCTGGCCTGGAACTTGGGGTGATCCTCCTGCCTCAGCCTCCCAAGTGCTGGGATTACAGGCATGCACCACCACGCCTGGCTTTAAATTAGATATTTATGAAGCAAATAGGAATGCTTAGGTTTGAATTTCCTTTCTGAGAGCACATTATTTTCTAGGTGTTCCAAATTGAGTGTTAGGTATAATGACAAACATTTAAATCTGCTGGAATGAATAGAAAAAAATGGGTCACTTGCAAAAACCAGTGGCTGATTTTGCTTAAATTTTTTTCTAGGAAGAAATGTACTTACTTGATTTTCCATGTATTAACCCATTGGTGGCCCAGCTCATGTTACATAAAGGACTTTCATTGAATGAGCTGTTATTAGCGACTTCTTGTCAACTTCAGGAACTCTTACCTGAAGTTCCAGAAAAAGTACTGCAGGTTAGTTATTTGAATTCAATATTCTTCTTCTTTTGGTACCAGGAATCGAACTCAGGACCTTGTACTTGCCAGGCAGGCACTTGTACTGTTGAGCTATAGCCCCATCCCGAATTCAGTATTCTTAATAAGTTTATTTCCTTTCCATTTGAGTCTGTATTTTTAACACAAGAGTTTCAGAATAAAGGTAGCCAACTTGGTTTCGGACATAATTTACTTGAACTAAATTTTATGTAGAGTTCTTCTTACCTGTCAATCATATTATAAATTTTTAAACTTTTATATAGATAATTCAGTACAGTTTATCACACTTTAAATCATTTTGAAATAGTATTATATCTATAAATATTAAGTTACATATCCTATTCACATTTACTTAAATTACCTTTTCTAAAACATCTGATATCCTTCATTATAGCAATAAAGAGAACCTTAGCCTTCCTGGGTAATATTTTTAAATACTTAATCAAGGAAATACAATTCATGTGTAACTAAATACTGCACTTGCTGTGAACTAACACTACTCTAAAAATGAAGTTTAAAAATTCTATTATAAGTGATCACAAAATAGATATAAGTTACAGTAAGTTTTTCTTTAATGGAGCCTAATGAGTTTACGTTCTTAATATGGATCAGTGTAGTCTATGCACAGACTATTTATATTTGCCTTTTTCTCATACAGATAAGCGTCATTCTTTATATTTACTCAGCTGTTGTTCATATTATATTGTATTGATTAATTTTTAAATTTTTTAGCATTTTTGTAGCATCACTTCCTTATTCCAGATTAGTTCTTCCTCCTTAACAAACTCCCCTCAAATGTTATCACCTCGGGAAGAAAGGGATCCGACTAGCACCTTCATTTCTCAGAGTTCAGCTGCTGGCTCTTCAGACGCTGTCATTCCAGAACATAATGACTATTACTCATGTCCAGACTTGGGAGAGACTGTACAAGAAGACACAAATACCACTTCAAATTATAACTCTTCTTTTGTGGAACTAAGAAAAATGCAGAGCCTTTTACCAGCTGTGACGCCTTACAATCAGAACAGCCATCGGAAAGACTTCTGTTGTAGCCCTGACATAGTGCAGGACAGTCCTTTCCCCATTAATATAAAATCACAGGAAGCAGCTTGTAACTCTTTTCCAAACCAGAATGATTCAGAGTCAGATGTCTTCTCTTTGGGCCTAACACAAATAAATTGTGAAACCACAATATCACCAGTTGACACTCAGAGAAGAACTGGCCCGAATTTTATAACTTACCAGAAAAAGGCAACTCATGAAACAGAAAGAATTACAAATAAACAAGTATCTACTCCTGCCTTTTCATTAGAGGGCTGTCAGTCTCCTAGTCATTGGAACTTTGAGGAAAACATACGTGAAAAACAGACGCACTCACTCAACTTAAAATATGGAGCAGAGCAGACTACCGATGGCGAATGGTACTCTCAGAAAGATCATCTGTTCGCTAGTCAGCAAACATGTCTATCAGATGAATTAGGAGGCTTCACATGTGAAAGTTCAAATGATGACACTAAAAAGACTTTCTGGGGAGATCTACTATCTGCGCCTAGTTTGAACTTACTCTGTGCTTCTGATCATGATGTAAATAAAAAAGAATTGGACAGCTTGTATTTCTACCAAAGGGCTGGAAAATATGTAGGACAGAAAAGGCAACCTGAGTCGGCATCCAACTCGGGAGACAAGGAATCATTAACAGGTAACGCCATCTAATAGTTGAGAAAGCTTTCAATTTTATTTTAAAAGATAGAACACCTCCAAATTTTAATAAATATTTTGTTTTGATTACTATTCTTAAGTCTGCAGTAACTTTTGTGTCAAAGAGAAAAATCAAAACTTTCTGGTCTAAGAAAATAAATTCAAAGAATATATGTCATAGTCTCATAATTTTAAATGAACGAAGCATTCCGTTTAAGAAGTTAAAAATATCTGGGCATGTTGGCAGACACCTGTGCTCCTAGCACCCTGGGAGGCTGGTAGGAGGACTGCAAATTAGAGCTCAGCCTGGGAAGTTTAGAAATTTAGGGAGACCAGTCTCAAAATACTGAAAAAAAAAAGAAAAAAACATAAAAAGAGTTGGGAATATAGCTCAGTTCAAAGGCCCTAGGTTCAATTTCCAGTACAGGGGGAAATAAGAAGTTAAAAATAAAAAGGAGAACAAATCTAAATAAAGCAGACAACTAAAATCAACAAAAATCAAACAAACAGATCACTGAGTTAGGCAACCTCTTGGTGGGGCATATATATTTAACTGGCTAACATTTACGAGCTTATTGTGTGCTAGGCACAATTCTAAGCCCTTTATGTGGTTGCTATTTTAATTTAACCATTCTATTAAATAGGCACTACTGTTACAAACCGCTAAGTTAGGCAGAAATATTATAGGCAGTCAGTGCTAGGCCTTCGAGAGAGTCAGTGCAGGGGATGAGAATACATTACAACTGTGGCTGGAGGCGCATCCACTGAAGGCCAGGCCTCAAGATAAAGATACAAAGATCAGGCCTCCGTGTCTCCCCAGTCAATAAGCAATATAATATAATTGGTATCACCTGGCCCAATAAAGTCTAGATAGACATCAGTGACCCACATAGGTGACCAGGACCTCCTGACTCATCTCTTCCGTAAAGCTCCTTGTTCTTTCCATGTGCACTTGCTACATCACTTGCTTCCCCACTGATCAGCATTATCTAAGTGGCTATACTTGTAATCTTATTGTTTGATCATAGTTGTGTCCCACCTTGTGCCTACCTGGTGATTTTGCACCCATCTCATGATTTTGCTCTATAAAACTTCTTCTGGAGAGTGAGCTCCATGGCAACCCACTCGGGTCCCCTCCTGTCTCTCAGGAGCTGTCTCTCTCCCTCAATAAAATTTCCTCCACTTAAACTCCGTCGTTCCTTGGAACTCATTCTTCAGTTTTGGGGAACATGAAAGTTCTGACACCTAGCAGGTTGGGAGGTACAACATTTCCCTCATATCATTTGGCGGTCTTATATCACTACCAGTAACTATACTTCAGTGGATGTTTTTCACATGTCTAAACATTTTATCATATCAGCTTCTAAAAAGGAAATTTTATATTCTCATTTCTAGGAATTCTATCTTTTCTATGTCATTTCTTTCTGCATTGGCCCAAGCAGCTAAAACAAAATACTAAATTCTCATGGCCACATAGTGTGGTTTTAAAGCTTCTGTTCCACACAGGGCTTTTCTAAGGCCTGAGAGGGGGCCAGACTATCTTATATTCTTCGTTGTATTAGAAAAGAGCCTCCCGAATTGTATGAGCCCCAGGACTCATAAACTGGGGCTTCTCCCCCTGTTTTGCTCCTCATTTTAGTGGGAAATGTTCTATCCCTAGTTTTGTAGGAACTTTTGTGAGGAATAGATGGTGAAAGATGAATTTTATCTAAACTCCTTTTAGTATTTATAGGGAAAAATCAAATATGCTTTCTCCCTGACCTACTGATGTCAAGAATCATATTTATTGGTTTACTAATATTAAATCATCATTGCCATTTTTATAAACCTAATTGTTTTTTCAAAAAAGTGTAATCATTAGTGCATATTAATTATACAAAGTAATAGATTTCATACATGCACACAAGTGCTTTGTAAATATGCATGCTAATCTTTATTCATGATTTTTAACATGATAGTCTAAGGTTTTTTTCCTAATTAAACTGTTACTTTACTTATGCCAATAGTGGATTTTTTAATGTTGATTTTTTTTAACTGTTGTTATTTTTAGCTTAACTGCATCTTGGTCAATTTATCATTTATTCTTTCCATTTATTCATGATGACTCTTTGTCTACCTTGGCAAGGATGAGTGAATTTTGCTAGCAATCTCTTTATAAATATTTTCATCTGTGAACTTATTTGGGATGTTTTGTGTTAGTTAACTTGGGATTTGTGGGTATTTCATAAATTGAATGACTCTACGGGTAATAATATATGGATATCCATATGAATGATGTATAGATATATAATGAACAGGAATTACTAAGTAGATACAAAAGATAATTCATTCGATGGGAGAGCTTCCTGGAAAATATAAAAAAATAAAATATTTTTAGAAATTTTAGAAATGGCTGTGGAAGACTGAGATCTAGAAAACAACACAGTTCCTATCAAGTTGGTAGCTTGAAATTAGCTATGGTGAAGGTCTTTATACTACAGAAATTGACAGTCGCTACTAATCAGGCTTTTGCCCCTTCACCCCATGCGACCCTCAAAGCTGGTTGTTAAAAAGTGCCAGGCCAGGCTGTCCCATAGTTTTACTATGAGCAACCAATATCCTATTGTCATTAACATTTCTGGTGACTATTCATGTGTGTAAATGCAGTTAAAGATCTCTTTTCCATACATGAATTTACATACTGATTTCTGAACACGTTCCTGGAATTATGTCGTTAGTGAACATGACCTCCACAGACTAGAAGCTGTTCATAAGACTGGCCAAAGTGAAAAGAGAATAGAAGTGGGGGCCTAGGGGCATAGTTCAGTGGTAGAGCGCTTGTCTAGCATGGGCAAGGCTCTGGAGTCAGCCCCAGCCCAGGGAAAAAGAATGGGAACAGGGAGTGCAAAGTAGGAAGAAAAAGAAGCTGGTGGAAGTCCATGAACTCTCACCACACAGATGGAATCAGAAGGTAGAGAGCAGGGGATATGCCAGTGTTTGAGGTTGTAAATCAGTGTGGGTGGGCCTCTAACTTCTACTCTAATTAATGAAGACACTCAGGAAACCTTGAAGAATCCGAAAGCCCTGCCTAAACTCCCCAAACCATTTCAGATGGTTTTACCTAAAAATATTAGAACCCTAAGAGATCTTAGAGATCATATACAAGTATCATTTTACAGAAGAGGAGGTTGAAAGCCAGGGAGATTTACTATTTGCACAAGGCATACACATACTAATTTTTAATACTGGGCCATTAGGTATGGCTGTATTTATGTTAAAATGTAATTTTTAATCATTATTACTTATCTCAGTTTGGAATTTTGAACTTTAAATAGGGGACAGTGAGACAGGATCCATTTCAGTAACTGGAAAACAACAGCTGCTTTAGTAATATATGTAATAAATGGTTCTCCTTTATCTCTTTTAACAGGTGTAACATGCTCACAACTACCACAACTCAAAAAGCGACGGCTAGTGTACGAAAGAGTCCCGGGAAGAGCTGATGGACAAACTCGACTGAGATTTTTTTGAAAGAGGGAAAGAACAGCATTTTGTGCCATAGTTACTGCTTTTCATGCTAATCCAGTAACAAAATTGGATTTTCTTACACATTAAAGAAAATGCAATTATTTTCACATACTCTCAGTATTTCTACATTAAATTTTGATGATATATATTCTGTGCTATAGCTTGAAACTTCGTGAATGACATATTCTGATTTATCAATTAGCATCATTATCATCAGATACAATATGTCTTCCAGAGCTACCTAAACCTTGCAAGCCTTTTAATGAGACACCATCACAGTCTGAGAAGTGAATCAAGAGGTGAAGGTTACCATCGTCAATATTCCAACACCAAAAACTAAGGTCAAAACAGAAGTTAGAGAACTTTCAATCTTTAACATTGTTTTCCATAAACAACATTTAGAAACAAATGGCTAAGGAAATATTTGCAACCTAAATTACAGGAAAAAGGTTTATATTCCTAATATATAAAGAATTCCTACACCATGATAAAAAAGAGACAACCTAACAAAAGAATGGGCAAAATATCTGAGTAGTTATTTCTCAGAAGAAACAAAAATAGCCAGTAAACCCTTGAAACAATATCCATCTACATTATTTATTAGGAAAATACAAATTAAAACAGTGACTGTTTTGTCTCTTGTCATACTGGCAAAATTTTTGAAAACTGTAACTATTCAGGGACAGCATATTGGAGAAAAGAGTTCTTATATTGCTAGTATAACTTTTTCAGAGCACACTTTGTAGAACATCTCCTAAGATAAAAAATCCACCTAGATTTTGACTCAGCAACTATATGTCTAGGATTCTGTCTTAAATATCTAATTATGAAATGAAATGTTATGACTATAATTTGTAATAGGTAAAAAGTATAGATAACAATGCTATTAAGTGGGGGAATAGGTAAGAAATGGAGACTGTAGAAGACCAGAAAAGCATTATGAAGAAAGTAAATCTGTATGTTCTAACAAGAAAAGATGCCCATGACATAAAGAGTAAAAAAAAGAAACAAACACAATATAAAAAACGATTGCACAGTGTTATTTTTTAAAAGACCCTGTTGTCCCACAATGATAGGTGTATTAGGGAACAACTTGAGCATACATGAATTTCATATTTCTGTGTATGATTTTGTTCATAAAAAAGAAAACGACTAAGGGAATTCGAAGATTGTACCCACCTGAAATGAGCTGGATAGAAATCCACAAAACACATACGACGCACCTCTCAGGCCCTGACCCACACTCAGCGTACCACAGCTGGCGTTTCCGTTTCGGGAGGACCCCTTCTAACTCCTTCCACCACCTGACAAAAACACGAGTCCCGACTTGGCTGAGAAGTTTGCAGTCTGCCCTTTCTCACCCCCTCCCTTCCCTCTCAGTTCTAGGCAGGGGGGCTGGTTGTACAGTTGGGCCCCTAAGTCCACAAGCAACCAACCAGTGGGAGTTCGGATAAGAACAGACGCAAAGGTCGTCTCACCCATCACACACCGGGTGCGCTGCACTGTGAAGGTACAGGTGAAAGGTTAGGCGTATGACAGAAGGGTGGACGCAGGGATAACACCAAGGCTTTTGGCCTGAGAAGCTAGATGAATGATATTGCAATTTACAGTGATGGGGAGACTGAGCCTACTTTGGAGAGACGATCAGATCAGGAGCTGATTGTAGGCAAGTTAAATTTGAAACACCCACTGGACTTCCAAGTGGAGATGCCCAGTAGATATTTGTTTTAAGACTCGGGTTTAATGGGATATAAAAATCGGGGAAAGATGAATTTGAGAGACCATAGGCATAGGTGATATTGAAAGCCATGGAACTATGTAAGATTATCAAGGTAGTTAATATGGCTCTTTAAGGAAAAAAAAAAAAGACAAAATTCAAAAACTGAGATCTGGGGCAACATTGGAGAGAAATGGAGGGAAAGGAAAGGGGACAGAGGCGCACCTGGGGAGATAGAATGTGATGGTCATGGAAGCCAGATGAAGACGCTTCCAGGAGAGATTGATTGTGTCAGCAGCTACTGAAGATCACATGAGAGAAGGAAAGAGAATGAACCATTAAATTGATCAAGGTGGAGATCCTCGTGATCCTGATAAAAGCAGTGTTTGAAAGACTAGTGGGGCAAAAGCCTTACAGATTCAAGAAAGCCCAGCAGGTCAGGACTGGTAGCATATGCGTGTAATCCCAGGTACTCAGGAGGCTGAGGCAGGAGGATCACAAGTTTGAGGCCAGCCTGGGCAAACTGGCAAGACCCTGTCTCACAGTAATAAAACGGTGATGTAGCTCAGCAGGAGGGCGTCTGTGAGCACCCCTGAGTTCAATCCCTTATATAGCAGGAAAGAGGAAAAAGAGAAGAGGAAGGAAACAGGAGGTGAGAACAGACAACTCTTACAGAACTTTTGTTGTCTATACAAGAGTGATGGGGTATTAGCTACAGAAGAAGTCCAGAGGGGCTAAAATAGAGGTTCTTAGGGCAGCCCGCTTTCCAGGTCCCCTTCCATCCCTGTTAGACAGAAGCTTTCTTTCAATAAATTCTTCCTACTCTGAAAAAACCCCATAGGTTCTTATCCATGTGTGTGGGCTGATAGGGAAAATCTAGTTGGGGGGCAAAATCTGATGGAGATGAGGGAGAGAGGGAGGAGGGAGAAACAGGCAGATGTGGTAGGAGATTATCGATCGTCTCTTTTGTTTGTTGTTTTTTTCTCCGGTACCGGGAACCGAACTCACGACCTTGCACTTGCCAGGCAGGCGCTTTGCCGCTGAGCTAAATCCCTAGCCCCCAATTTTTCTGTTCTGTACCAATCAGGGTTTGGTGTAGAATAAAGGATTTATTAGAAGGCTAAGACCTTACACAATGGTGAGAACTGGTTAAAAATTCTGTGGAAGACTGTTGCCTTTGTATCTGGTGCTGAATCTGAAATCGCTTTAGGTCAGCAGAAAGGAGACACAGAGACAAAACGGGAGAGACCAGGACAGACCGAAACTTGCCAGCATGAACTGGAACTCACGAGGAAAACGTGGAACCCGTGTCTGTGTCTTGCTGCTTCCAACTCTGATGACAGGAAAGTGAGGAGGCCACGACTGAGGTGGAGGAGCAGGGGTTCGTGCTTTGAGGAGAAAGGAATTTGGAAATAGTCACCTACGAGAGTGAAAGGGAGGTGGATCAGGGAAATAGAGCACACGTTTGCTTTGTGAAGGGTCCTCTTAAGTTAGTGACCATGAATTTGAATATGGTCACAAGTGGGGGTGGGGCAGAGCTCACTGCGTTGAACATTTGCCCAGCATGCACAAAGCCCCGAGTTCAATTCCCGACGCAAGGGGGAAACAGAAAGAAGGGCTCCCAGTAGAAAGGAAGAAAACATTAGACAGATTTGCATTTGAGAGGGTGTGGCTCAGCCCACCGCTGTAAGGAAGCAAAAGTGAAGGGGCTTGTGAACAGTTAACGATGGCAAAGGGGACACAAAAGCACATTCTGCTGTCAAGGAGCTCCGCATGCAGCCTCCGTACAACTTCCGGTGAGCCACGCTTGAGCCTCTGAGGCCAGACCTGAAGTCCACGCAGAGTTCCTCCCTTCCACAGAGGCCTTCTTGCTGCGCAGGCGCCAGGAACTGCACCACTTGCAAGGAGCGCTCCGCCTAGCTGAGTGGCTGGCTACCTACCAGCCCCCCTGCCCTGGCTCTTTCCTCCCCTCCTCTCTCCCCTGCACCTCTCCTCTCGGCCCCTCCTCTCTCTGCACTCACTGTGTCCGCTCCCTCCAAGATCCATGGGTAAGAAGCCTTTGAGTGTATTTCCTATCGCGAGGCTATAGTGAATTTGTGGCTCCCATCTGAAGAACCAGGGCCAACCCCAGGCCAGATTTTCCCCAGGACAAGGAGGAGAACGGAGTCAGGCCCTACTGCCAGATCAACGGTTGGTGGGAGAGAGAGACCGCACCAGGTCAAATGAGACTGCAGGACCATCACGCTTTCTTACCCGCTTCCTGCTACTCAAGGTTAGGGACCCGAGGTTAGGTTTGTTCACCTTGGACAGTTATAGACCATTACTTCTCAGATATTTCAATTATGTGGCAGGTTCTGATTTGTTTCCAGGGCTCCACGCCTTAGTCACTGCACTAGATGTCTCAGGGATCCTAGCCCTCCTCCCTCATACATATGTTAGATGTGTTTCTTTCGCTTTCTCACTAGATTTGTAACGATCATTATTACAAGAGTTCATTCAATATTTAATTAAAGCACTTAATTATATTCCTTTTTAAATACCAGTAAAAATAATTCAATATAGTTAAGTATGTACATATTTCTTTTTTGATTTCTGCTACTGGCTTTCTTTAGGAAAGCTCTCTTTGCCCTAAAGTTATAGATGCTATTTTCCTAACTTTTAATGCTTTAATCTTTCTGTAACCCGTATGTAATTTTTTATAGAGGACAATACTTACATTTCTTCTAAATGGAAAGCTAATGTCAACACTATTTATTGAGTAAAGCATACCTTCCCACTGAATAGAAAGGTTAAGTCTATTTCTGAAGTGTCATGATTCTATTATTTGCCTATTCCTATACCACAATCATATTGTTTACATTAGTTTTTGTCTTTTTATTTAAAATCATATTATTTTGATTTGGTAGCTTTAAAGTTTTAATATCCAAGAGGCAAGTTTCACCCTCCCATTTTTATGCACACACACAGAGAGGGGATTTTTGGTTTTTCAGGTTATTTTTTCTTTTACAGAGGGCTTTTAAAAACAATTCTTGGACACTTGATTTTCCCTGTGAACATTAAGATAGTTTAACTTTGTTTCCTTCTAAAAGATAGGAATCGCACTAAGCTGCTAGTCTCATGAAATTGGCTTATTGTCCTCAAGTTTGATGTATCCATTAATTTAAACTCTGTTCTATACACACTACAAAACTGCTCCCCCTGCCCCCAAGCCTGAGACTTGCTAAGCTACTCAGGCTAGCCTTGTACTCCTGGGCCCAAGTGACCCTTCTGCCTCAGCCTCCTATAGTTCCCACATAGCTGGAACCTCAGGCAGGCACTGTCTTGGACCAAAGCTTTTTTTTCCTGACTTTTTCACTTTTACTAAAGCTATTCCAAGTATTTTTACAGTCCTATCATGAAAGCAGAAATGCAACATAGTTTCCATTTTCATTTTTAAATAGCTACTGCTAGTACAGAGAATGCTTCTTACTTTTTATATGTATTTTTATCCAGTCAGCCTCCCAAATTCTATTACAAATTCAAGTATTCTTTCTACTAGAGTCTCATGAGGTTCTAAGGTACAATTATATAACACAGTACAGATATCATTTCTTCTAAAATGATTACACCAGGGCTTGGGATTTAGCTCAGCGGCATACAGCCTGCCTGGCAAGCACAAGGTCATGAGTTTGATTCCTAGTACTGGGAAAAAAACAACAAAAAATAAAATAAAAAATAAAATAAAATGATTACACCAAGCCAGGTGTGATGGCACACGCCTGTAATCCCAGCCACTCAGGAGGCTGAGGCAGGAGGACCACAAGTTTGAGGCCAACCTGGGTAACATAGAAAGAATTTGTGTCAAAAAAATAAAATTTAAACCACTCCATCTTCTCATCTTACCATGCTAAGACATCCAAAGCAATGCTGACAGTGGTGATTAAAAGATGTTCCTGCCTTGTGCCTGATATGCTGAAAGCTGCAACTGTTCACCATGCAGTAAATCTGCTGTTGATTTTCATGAATTGTCTTTACCATCTTTAGTTTCCTTTTACTTCTGTTTCACTCATCCCTTAATTTTTACTCAGCACAAATACTGAATTTTTATCAAATAACTTTCTGACACAGATCCCCATTCATATAATGAATTACACTGATGGATCCCTATGTTAGACCAGCTTTGACAAGTGCTATTTTTCTAAATATACCACTGAATTTGGTTTGTTCCTATTTAGGACACTTACATCTCTATTTGTAAGTCAGATGGTTTTTCTGAACCATCTGATCAAAGTTCTGCGCCAAGGGAAAATGGAGTCAAGAGAGAGTTTTGTTTTTAATGGAGGTTTTGGAAAAACACTATTGTTAAGATGGAGAATGGAATGTGTTTAAATACTGATAGAAAAGATGAGCCGGGGATATAGCTCAGTGACACAGCGCCTGCCTGGCAAGCACAAGGTCGTGAGTTTGATTCCTGGTACAAAAAAAAGATGACACAGATGAAGATAAAGGAGAGAAAGGATAATGGGCAGGGAAAAAATTGTAAAGAAAACAAAACATCTAGAGAACAGAAAAGTTAGAAAAGGGTTACATAAATTATGATCAGATGACAGGTTTCTAGATCACTTAAACCTGGAAGTTTAGTGGCTAGAAATTCTAATTGTTTCTCTTTTCCCTATTATAATACTATGTATACTCAAAGATATTTTCTATCTGTTTACATATGGTTTTATACATACCTACTTCAAATGTTGCCAGTAATTGAGATATTTTTCATGTTACACATATATCCACTTTTCATGACATTTAATAAATTTCTACAAGGCCTTAAAAACTAAAATTTCACCTCCCACTTCCAGCACTCAATCTCACAAGTGAACAGAAATCCATGACACCTTAAATAACAAAATCAGACACAAAATCGCTGTCATAGAAAATGATGAAGTAAGCAGAGATTTTATTCCCAAGCTCTTCAAAGATTATTACAAAGACAACTAAAATGTCTCTCTAAAAGTGTCTCAAATAAAATCAAAGGCACATCGTCCAAATAAAACACTTGTGGCATCAAGAGTTCTTTTAGGTTGTATTTTCACATTAGCTTGTTTTTAACTATTCGCATTCTTCTATGTGTGATTCTCATTTTAAACATTGTTTAAAGACATGAAATAATGTAGTATTCTTTAAAAGTGCAATCACAACTATAAAGTAGAGAAATTTAAGAGGAAAAGGATCAAATGTGCTTCCTACACAAGAGAAATATTAATCTTTCCAAACAAGTTGGCTAAGGAGTATCTCCTACAGTTAGTGTGAAACATAAATCTTCCAATTACAAAAAAATCAACACACCATTTAATGTGTAAGAGTCTATTTTCACCCATTTTATATTTTTTGTCTTCATTTTATAACTGTAAATTCATGAGACAAGAACAAATTTTATTACAGTATAAAAATCTTAGGAATAACAAATTACAAACACTCAATTTTTTAATAGACAAAAATACTTTGCTTCCTAAAATGTAAACATTCAGTAAATAAAACATGCATGGTATTCCAGGAATAACAACATCAATAGTTCACTTATGAAAAAGGGGTATTTGTTGGTAAGGTTTTTGTTTATCCTAAAATAAAGCACTTCGGCAAAAGAACCAGGCCATTATTATTTAAAACTATTCCTTCACTCACTTTCCTTAGTTGAGTAGAAAATGACTAATTTTTGTAGAAATTTGGCTATAGGACCTGGCCACAGGAAAGGTGTGAAATATCTAAAAGTCCTTTGATGAAAGAAAAGCATTCTCTTGAGACTTGGAGGGACTCTCATCACTTTGTGCTTGAAGGGATTCCTCAACGAACTTCTTCCTTACTGGAAAGAGAGTTTGGTTGGTTTTCATTGTTTGTAAAATTTATTCATAAAATTAACTAGTCATATTTCACAGGGCATTTTAGTATTCACAGAATAGAAAAGAAGAAGTTAATTCAATAAAATATCCAAGCTACACCACTAGATGTGTACAATACCCATGGAAAACTTTTGTAAAAAGAAAAACACTATGCCGACATAAAACTATTACTTTAATATCCTCAATGTGTATGCTTTCCATTAATAGGTATTATTATACTTAACAGTAAAGTTACTTCTTTTATTTTTTATTTTTATTTATTTTTATTTTAAAGAGAAAAAAATATTTTTCTCTTGATTTGATATTTTGAGACAGGGTCTCACTATATGGTTCAAGCTGACTTTGAACTCACTATATAGTCCAGGCTGGCCTTGAACTTGTGGCAATCCTCCTGCCTCAGCCTCACTCAAAAGAGTGAGTATGCCACCATTCTTTTCTTTTCTTTTAAATAGGAACAATTTCCTTTTGGAAGTATAGGAAAAGGAACCTAAACTGGTTACTTCCTATTTAACCACCACTTAGAACACATAATTTGAAATATGCTGGTCCCAGAAGACTAATAATCTATGCCCTTTTTCTCTCAAAAAATAATAGTGAAAATATGTATAAGATCTCAAGACAAAATATTGAAATGTATGAGATTTCTAATATGCCACCTGAGAGGCGTTTTCATTTCAGTTGTGAATTTTTAAATCTCTTTTAATCCTATTCACACATTCCCCAAGTACTGTAGCTACTTACTCCTTCCAAGATAGGATTAAGGTCAAGAAATTACTACCAGCCAACTCACGTAAAAGGCTCAAGTACATTAAAATAGTATCTCACGCATTCACACCAAAGAGTTGAGACTCTTCTAATTAGTTGAGTGCTACAGGCTGCCTAGCTACAGACTACAGTCAGTCTTCGGGGAAAGTTGTGCATTTTGCCGGTTTTTTATTTTAATTCCCTCACGATGAGTAGCTATTCAAACCTCAGGTCCCCAGATCCTTTGGGACGTTCCGTGACAATGCCTTGGCCCCAGGATGGCACGGGGTATCAATACTTACCCCTCTTCAGAGTAAAGCACAGGACCTGGGCTCCCGGAAGGGGTTGCTGCCGGCCGGAACACCAACCAGCAGGGCATCCTTGCAGGCATTCTGTATGCAGTACTGCTGCAGCTCTGCGGCCGCCTGGGAAACCTGAAACAAAGACGCCACAAGGCCGCGCTGCTCACAGCCAGATCCACCCAGCAGTCATCTGATATCCTGAAAAGGATCACACGGCCCGACAAAGGTCATGCTTTTTGCAGCCTCCAAGACTCTGCTGCTGATTGTCGTAACTGAATTCCAGAGGAAAGGTGACAGCTTCTGTGAACTTCGATTTACGATGTTTTTTTTTTTGTTTGTTTGTTTGTTTGTTTTGGTTTTCTCCGGTACCGGGAACCGAACTCACGACCTTGCGCTTGCCAGGCAGGCGCTTTGCCGCTGAGCTAAATCCCCAGCCCCTGATTTAGGATGTTTTTGGCTTAGTTGCTTATTCAACAAAGGTACAAAAAAAAAGCCCATTTAGAATACTAGTTTTGAGACTTCACTGGTAAAGAAATATCTCATGCTAGTGCACAAATTTTCATTACGTAAAGCATATATTGATAAAGGTCATGTTTCTTAAAGATCAAATTTGCTGTGTCATCAAACTGTCTTAATGTTTTTAAGGCTGGGACTTGGGCCGTGGTTCAACCCCCAGTACTGAAAATAATAACAATAAAGATGCAGCTCTAGAAAGAGGCTGCCTGGACCCGAATTCAGCTCTGTCACTACCCATAGGACCTTGCACAAGTTCCTTAATTTCTCGGTACCTATTTCCTCATCTGTAAAACGTGGTGAGTAACAGTATCTCACTTAATCCTTGATGTGATAACTGAGTTACCACCCATGAAGCACTTAGCATGGTGCCAACGCATAATTACAATGGCAAAACATGGTCACAGTACTTTGCAGCTCCTGCCACCGAGAGGTAGGACCTACTTTCCCACCCGTTAAGTCTGGGCTGGCCTTGAGTGGCTCTGACCGATAAAATATGGCAGAGACAGTGGGCAAATTCCAAGTCAGGACCCCAAGAATCTTTGCAGCTACCTAACTTGTGGCAGCTGGAAACCAAGATTACTATACCGGAAGTGTTACAGAAGAAAAACAGCTGGCCAGCTGTTTCAGATCCAAAAATAGTGGACCATCTGCCAACCTCCAGACTTGTGAGTGAGGCAAGCGTCCATCCAACAGCAGCGCAGGACAGAGCCCAGCAACAGTGAGCAGGACTGCACTGCTGAGCTCAGCTCAAACAGTCGACCTGCCGGGCGCAGTGGCACACACCTGTAACCCCAGCACTGGGAGGCTGAGGCAGGAGGATTGTTGAGAGTTTGAGGCCAGCTGGGGCTACAAAGTGAGCTCAAGGCCAGCCTGAACTGCATAGCGAGACCCTGTCTCAAAAAGGCAAAAATAAATAAATAAATAAATAAATAAAAATAAAAAATAATAACAGTCAACCAAAGAACTGTGAGTTCAATGTTTGAAACCATTAAGTTTTTTGGTAGTTTATAGGACACCCAAAACTGATACAGTATCAGGCATGCCTTTTCTTTTTACTCTCCATTTGATGTGGATTTCTCCTCTGAAACTTTTCTCACTTTATATCTTTCTTCCAAGCAAAAAAGGATTTTGTATGAAAACTCACTCACACATACTGTATAAAAATGGCCCCAGTTGCTGTTCAAGTATTACTGTTAGCTTGTATTAATTTTCCAAGCCTCCATTAAATGAAACGCTAACTCCTGTGATGGTTTAGACATGGTTTGAATGTGTCCCCCCAGGATCAAAATGTAATGCCCACCGTGAGGTATACAGGGGGCGGACACCTAATCCGACTATGATATTTAGAGGTGGGGCCAGTCGGGGCTGGTTAGGATTAGATAAAGTCATCAGGGAAAGTTCCCCCAAAACTGAATTACCGGAGGCTTCCTAAGAAGCGAGAGAGGCCGGAGACACACATGCAACATACACTCCCAGTCGCCTGCCTGTGATTTCCTGCGCTGCCTTGGGAGTCTCCAGCAGGGCACCTGTCAACAGATGCAGCCCCTCAACCTGGGACCCACAGAACCCCCAGCCGCAAGAAACTTCTTTTCTTGGCAATTTACCCAGTCCAATGTATGTATTCCGTTATCACCAACAGAAAACAAACTAATAAACCGCTTCTGTGATAGTTACTACTCAGTTCCTGAAGTGCTTTGGTAATTTTGGTTTTATGAATGTAATAATATTTTGTTATATGAATATAAACACATAATCTAATATAACCAGACCAATGAATTTAAGCTTACTGTCTTTCCATAGAAACGCCTGACATTTCCGTATTAATTCTAAGTGGAATGATTCGTTGTATAAAACAGTTATTAACTTAAAAAGAAATGTAGAACCAATTATGCCCATGCTGACTGCAGCAGGGGAACAAGGAGGCTCCACAGATATCAGGTACAAGGCTGTTCCCGGGGCCCTGGCAGAAATGGAATTCGCTGGGCTCTGGCCTGGAGAACAGGGCCACGCTGCCAGAGTCAGACTAGACTACCGTGAGTACACCCCTTAAATGTATTTGGGGGAGGGTACTGGGAATCGAACTCAGGACCTTGCTCTTGCCAGGCAGGCGCTTGTGCCGCTGAGCTATATCCCCCGCTAAATATACTTTTTATCTTACTGCTGGTACTGACCTTGAGTGCTTCCCTCCCGTCTCTGGGTCTGTTCCATCACCTATAATCATTTTTAAGATGTCGATACCGTTATCTTCCCTAGCTACTTCACAGAGGCAGCAGGCATTCGACCCAGTTTTCCTTCCCATTTCAGGTCTTGAACATTTTCAACAATCCCAGTTTCAGTTCTCGATGTCCTCTCCTCAAACAACGTTTTTTCCTCAACGCCTGGGGCCATAGCCAACACCTGTAAGCAGTTTACTTCTGGAAGTTTACGGCCCAATACGCTACTGCGTTCTGAGACTCTGCCAGTTCCCTTCCTCCCCTCCCCAGAAGAAAACGTGGCTTCCTATTTCACACAGAAAAATGTCATCGTGCAAGTTCTTTAGCCCCTGCCTAGAAACATCTATTTTTACACATCTACCTTCCTGACTCAGAGGGGCTCCTCCAATCCCTTGGCCCACTCTCCTTTTCCTCTATTTCTACGCTTTCCCCTAAAAACACAGTATGTTCCTTCCCCTCAATCTCAAAATACTGACTTCATTTCCCAAGTTTTTAAAAGTTTTTTTTTTTTGCCGGGCATCGTAGCTCACACCTGTCATCCCCGCACTAGGGAGGCTGAGGCAGGAGGACTGTTGCCAGGTACTAAGGTAGCACACCTGGAATCCCAGCGCTTGGGAGTTTAAGCCCATCACAGGCTACACAGCAAATTTCAGGCCAGCCTCGCCCACGAAGCGAGAGCCTGGCTCAACAGCAAAAACAGCAAAAAGAAAGCCAGAAACTGGGGACCTTTACAGAAAAGTCTGCTGCCTATGACAATCCAGACTTTGCTTCCGCTTCTACACATCGCTAAAAGCTCTCTGTGCTCTGTAACGCTAGCTCTTTATCTTGTGTTATAACCTTCATTGATGATCTGGAATCATTTTATTTGTGGCTTCACTTTTTATTGTTTCCCTTCCGCACCAGAATCACCCTACTGCCTAGACTGGGGCCGGGGCGGCGGGGGCCGGCCGAGGCTGCGCTCGCACAGGTCTGCACGCCTGCACCCACCGCACGGAGCGCGGCGCGGCTACCACACCATTGCACAACGGGCCTTTGTTGGCCAACCGACTAAACGCCGGGCTCGCTGACCCGCCCGACCGCCTGAGTTCCCCCGGCCTTGCTTTCTCCGCTTCCTCTTCTGTGGGCCACCGTCCTGACGGCCGCGGGGCGCCGGTCTCACCTCTGCTCTCCTGCAGCTCTCGGTCATTCGCACACATTGCCAGGGCCTCTCTCAGCCCCGGCTGTGCCCTGCGCTGCAGCGCGGGCGGCCGAATACCTGCTGGGTGTCGCTGCAAAACGGGGCTCCCGCCCCCCCAGGCCCGCCCCCGCCGCCGCAGTCCACCCTAGAGGATGCAGCGCCACCCTCCCGTCCCCGCGCCAGAAACCTGAGCATCCTTCCTCCTCGCGCCCAGCCGCCGCCGGGCCCGGCCCCCTCGGCGGCCGCTCCATCCCTGGGCTGCGTCCTCCTGCATCCGCGGAGTCCAGGCCGCCAGCGCGGCGCCCGCATCCATGCTCCCCCACGGTCACTGTCCACACAGTGGACACACAGTGCCCTCGCGGGGACGCCGGCGCGGGGCACG